GATACTGTGTCACTGTACGTTTACACCACCCACATGCACATTACATGTTTGGTATGTGTTGAACCACAAGATGTACAACGCAATCCAAAGCCAAATAGATGAATCAACAAATTTTCATGGAGCAGAAACAGGACCTTACCTGTTATCTCATCAATGTTCATTGAGCCTAGAGAAAACTGACCAATATCATTACATGTTCGATAACTGACTACGAAAAATCTGAACTACGTCTTGAGTCTTAGCAGATAGGGAACCTAAAAGACGTACTAGTTGACTGTTTTTCAATTTTTGCGGATGTTGAATATCTTTTGTTTCAGCATACAAGAGATCACGGTAACTACAAAGAGACAAAATCACGGTCTACTACTTAACATAGCACATGAAACATACGACTTCAAGATGAGGCATTTGTATAATTATCATTTTTCGTAGAATAGCCTTAATTAATACCTGGTTAAGGTATCGGACTAGCTGTTCCCCAGATGATATTTGAGTTGCACTGGAGAGTTTGCTACCATCCGGTGCAATATCCGTAATGAACGGTTGGTCTTGTTTTTGTTTCTCAACTACATGCGCATTAATTATTAGTTGCCTGACCAATTACCCGTGATAAATAATGAATAAACTTATCAAAAACACTGTATTGTCTCAAAAACCCACTCGTTTTTGCCAAAGTGCTGTGCTGTCCCAGAAAAACAAAAAACAATGGACACCTTGCACCGCGAGGTCACAGGACCTCAAAACAGTCTTTATTTTGGTTTGTGGGGCAGTACAGCACTCTGGCACCAAAAACGTTGGATAAATGAGATCGAATAATCTAAGTGGGTGAATTTGTTCATGCTGTTTCCTGAATTGCATCTAAATACATAACATGATTTGCTGCTTGGTGTATAAGAAGATGGAAACATTTGCTTCAGGCATTGTAGCAGGACTGTGATTATTCAATAAGGTGGTAGGAGTGTAACAGGACAAAGTTTAAAGCGTATTCGCCGTTAATACTTATGGCTGGCTAGGGTTTCAGGTTTAGGCTTTATGGCAAACCCTCGGAAACGTCTCAAGGTGAAGGGTCTACGGCATGTGTGTATATATATATACATATGCCTATACAAATATACATATATGCATACATTTGTAAAAATATGTATCTGTATATAAAGGTATGTATGTGCGTATGTGTGTGTGCCCTTTGTTTGCTCAGGGCATGCCCACTCGTCGCAGGATCCACAGACTGCGAGAGCGCACCCTCGCTGTCCTCGGGCTCGCGCTGCACTTCCTCTTCCAAGGCCTCGATGCTTTAGATCTGACACCAGAGCGGGGGAAGTGAAACTATCGTAGTCCAGGACCTCTTTCTTTCCCGTACATGCATGTGGGGAAGGAGGTTGGTGCTGCGTAAATATCACCTTGCTTCGTGATGCGAGTCCTTCCTTCCACGGGCAATACGAGTACGAGAACCTCTGTCAACAGTGCTACGTCTGACTTTTTCAATGGCGGACAGCTGACCTGTGAGGCTTTAGAAGATCGGATGCCGCTCATAGCTGCCTTGCCCGCAAATCGTTTTCGTGCTGGACTGACACCCACTGTTTGATTTTCTGATCCACGATGACGACGTGGCATCCCTATGCACCGTTATCGACTCAGGACACGCCAGAACTAACCCGGAAAGCCCGCCTGCTTCTTCATGATTGCGATGAGGAGTGCGAGCTCCTCATCGCTGGCCTTTGTGGCCTGGCAACGGTACTTCAAAGCTGCAATGCTCACGCAGGCAATCGAGTCTGTGCAATCGCTTCCAATGTGCCACGAGCCCTGGAACCTTGCTGGCTCAATCTAACCCTTCCGCAAACCCCTTCTGCAACTTCAACCCGGAGTGCAAGGCCTCCGTTGCGCGCAGCAACTCAAACTTTCTTTGCGCCAAAAGGAGCAAGTGGAACATGATATCCGCTGTTGGAACATCGGACGATCAATAAGGTCGCAACGTTTCCCAGTCTTGGAAGTACAAAAACGTCATACATCTCACAAGGTCGTAAACTGAAGATAACAAGATACCTTTAAGTCTCCTTGTCTCCGGACTGCCACACACGGCGCGGGGTCGACTCCGACATAGCATGCGATACACAGGCAACACACACACACACACACACACGCACTCACACTTGGCACGGAAAACCCCGTGACAATGCATGCTGACGGTTATGCTGCACTCGGCTTCCTGTGCTTCGAGAATAGGGCCACGTGAAGTGTTGGCTTGTTTCGAGAACAAGGACAGGGACGTGCTTTGTTTGTTAGTCTGGGCTTCCCCATTGCGCACTGGCAATGAACGCTTCGGGTGGAATGGCGCGCTCGGCTTGCGTTTGGGTCAGGGTCCCGATCGAGTCTTGATGGTGCTTCCGGTCGAATCGTGGTCGGTGTTCGGGTCGCATCGGTTTAGCGATCGTGGTTCGGGCAGTGTCCCGGGTGCAACTGGTGCCCCAGGCCTAAGATGTGTTGGCCTCCAAGTTGTGCCCCAGGCCTAAGCTGTACATGTACGATTTGTTGCCGGTGTCTTCGGCTCCATGTAGTGTCCCAACTAGTGTCCCAACGCACTGATGTGTTGCAGGTGTGGGCTGCAGATGATGTCCCGGTCCTAAGACCTACGATTTGTTGCCTGTGTCTTGGGCTTCAGGTCGCGCATTGGTGACCCAGTGCCACGAGGTACGACTTGTTGCCCGTGTCTTGGGCTGCAGGTGGTGCCCCACGCCTAGGACGCAGTTTTTGCTGGTGTCCTGTGCTCCAAGTGGCGGTTCAGGGCCCACACGATGTGTTGCCGTCTCGGGCTCCAACTGAGCCCCAGCACTAAGATGTACGATTTGTTGCCCGAATGTTGGGCTGCAGGTGTGCGGCCCCTGTGCCAAGTTGTACGATTTGATGTCTTGAGCTCCATATCGGGTCCCAATGAAAAGACGTACGATTTCAGGGTCGGCGTAGTGGGCTGCAAGTGGTGCCGGGGCTCCAAGGCAAGCCTTTACCATTTGTTGGCAGTGGCTTTGGCTCCGACTATGCCGCAGAGCTAACATGTACGATTTGTGGCCGGTGCCTTTGGCTCCAACTAGTGCCCCAGCTCTAAGATGTACGGTTTGTCGCGAGTGTCCTGCGCTCCAAGTGGCGCCCCCAGGGCTGCGTCGGATCCCCCGTTCGTGAACAGTCTGTCAATCCAAGTCCAATTCTACACAGGACGTGGGAAACAACACCCATGGATAAAAAGGTAGGGTCTGGGGTTTAGGGCTTTCACAAGCAGGCCGGCATCACGAAGGCCCAAAGTTCGGCCCTGAAGTACATACAATAGAAGCACTGACGCTGCGGGTGCTGCGCTGCAGACTAGAGAAAGTTCAGGACCCTGCGCTAAAGGCGGCGGCCTGGCAGCAGCAACAGGGGAATATCATATCATATATATATATATATATATACACACATGCATACGTATTCGTTCATCTATGCATAATTTGAGTTGTGCTATGCTGTTTTCTTGTATGTTACACATTAGATATCACATGTTTGTTACAGCAGAAGATTGTACGCGGCAATATACAATTTTACCTACTTATATATATATATATATATATATATATATATATTTATTTATTTATTTATCTATTTATTTATTTATACGTATGTACATATAAAAATGTATACAAACATATGTATGCATGATTGTTCTTTTCACTAAGTTAGTGGTTGGTTCATTTCTGGGTTCGTTAACTTATGGATTTGTTCATTTGTGTATGTATATACATATATAATTTGCATCGACAAAGAGAGAAAGAGTAGACTTTACAAGCTTACGGAGTATATGTTCAATATCTATTTGTTGTAATATGTGATTTGCAATAAAGGCTGAACACGATCGGTAGTGTAAACATATTGCTGTATCAAACAACTTTGACTACATACTGCCACTTGTGCGTGATATGTTGCACACTTCAATTACTGCGTGTATGTTATACAACGTATGCTATGAACTACGACATGACATGAACATAGTATACTATACATTATTTGCTTTCTCGCATATTCATGCACATATGTGTATATATGTGTGTGTATACCATTTTGGATCTTGCACCTTCCCCAGAACACAATACATGTATATACATACATACATACATACATACATGCATGCATGCATGCATGCATGCATGCATACACACATCCATACATCCGTACACCCATACATCCATACATCCGTACATCCATACATCCGTACATCCATACACGCATATGACATATATATATATATATATATATGTATATACACATATTTATTTATTTAGCCATATAGACACGTACGTACATATGCACATGTGTGCGCATACATGCATACATACTACGTCATGTGTTACTACATGTACATACTTGCATACATGCATACATACCTGCATACATACATACCTACATACCTACATGATAATCCTATTTACCTGCCTACCTGCCTTGCCACATGCCTGCCTCGACCGCCGGCCAGCCTACATGCATGCATGCATGCATACATACATTCAGTACATACATCAACGCATGCACGACAAGACGCGCAAAGCGCGCACATAATGCAGATGTGTAGAAGGAAAGACAAGAACGCGCGGCACCGGCGATCTTTTTCCAACGGCTTCACTGTCGCGGGTGCCGGCTGCGTTGCAGAAGAAGGCACGACCTGCCCGGTCTTACGAGGTTTCGCTTTGTGACGGGGTTACGCCATAGGACACTCTGTAATCACCATCGCCTCTTAATGGTCACTAGTAGCGGGAAGGGGCTGCATCATCTTACGTAGAGTTTGGGGTGCAGGGTCTAGGGCTGAAGATTTCTGAGGAGTGGGGTGACTCTGCATCTAGCGCATCCGCACGTGGCAAAAGCGTTGGCCGTGACCTGAGCTCTTTGACCTTGCTACAAGGGGCCCATTTAAAAGACGAGACTAGGATTTGGGTGATAAATATCATGACACGGAGTTATCGCGGAATACTATTGCTGGCCGCCTCCTGCGCCAGCAACAGGTCGTACCTTCGAGGCTCGTGGCTGCAATGTTTGGGTCTTCAACTCTGAACCGGTCAATACCTAGTTGGAGTTTGCTACATTGATCCCACTGCACGCAAGTTCCACCGTAAGCCGTGGGGTCTCCCGTAGTGGATAGGAATGACCAGGAATGCCAAGGCTTTAAGTGTCACAGCATCAGGGCTCCGAGACCAGTCTCTCGCAAGCTTGATTTCATTCTTGGGCTTCAGCTGAGTTGATGACAGGTTTCTCAACACCAGCAGAGCGCTCACGAATTTGAGGTCCTCTGACCAAATCCACCTTTATAGTGAGGCAACCTTTGCTGAGAAAAAGCAGTTTTCCAAAAGGTTTCAAGGTTTCTCAAGGGGTCCTCCCTATCTACCGAAGAGTTTGGGCAGCTAGAAGTTTGAAAGGTCATTGACGGAAGCCGAGGCCTCCCCACCGACACTGGCGCAAAGTGAAAACCGTGTGGGATTTGTCGGTGTTTCTCCTTTGGTTGGTGTGGGCACTTGGCCGTGGGGAGGGTCAAGGTTTCAGCGTGAGCATTGGACACGCCCCAACAGCCTGCACCTTGGTAGTCCTGATGCATGGCCCCATGCCATGGGGTCTGAGAGTGTCTTTCAAGATTGCGCGTCGGAGGTCGCCTTCATCCGCCATCCACGCCGAGGACACATGGCTGCGGGACGGAGCCTCGCTGGCTACGTCATGCTTTGCCCGCAAGCACATGTATGATCCTGTTGCGTGGTCCCGCTTGCTGGCCAAGGGACTTTACATTTTCCGGATCTGGAGGCCTGAGAATGGCAGGGCGCAACGAAAAGTGGGCGCGTGGCGGCCATTCAACACCCTTTTTTGCAGCTGCGGTGCCCCTCTAAGAGCCCACGCTGACACTCACCATCGCCAACATCCTGGGCACAGATCGCAGTGAAGGCATTTCTAAGACAGGCAAAGTCGACGTAGTGCGGGAGCAAAGGCGCTCCCCCCAATCAACTTGGGCTGTCCTCTGAGTCGGAAGGGCCACCCGTACCACCTGTGGCTGTACTGGCGCCACCCAAGCTCACCTTCTTTCTTCGTGGCCTCGGCGACCCAAATGCATCTAACTGAGATCAGCGCAGCGCAGGAGCCAGTGCTAGCCAAGGCACTTTACGTGCTCCGGGTCTGGAGGCCTCAAAAAATCTCAAAAATGGCCGCATGCAACAAAAAAGGCACGTAGTGGCCGACCAGCATGCTTGCACCAAGGCGCGGTGTGCCACTTCTCGGCGTCGTTGACAAACCCCCATTGTCCTGCGCGGCTTTGCTGTCGAGATTCCTCAGAATGGCCGAGTTCGGCGAACAGAAGCACAGTGGATACACACCCAGCGTGCTTGCACCAAGGCACGGAAGCTGCTCTCCACATGTGCCACTTTTCGGCCTCCATACGAGACGCCTCAGAATGACCGAGTTCAGCGAACGGAGGCAGACCCCCCTCGGAATGGCCGTGTGCAGCGAACACGGGCCCGTTTCGGGCGTCCAGCATGCTACAGCACAATCAAGGTGCTGTTTTCCGCATGGCATCGTCAGCGAATTCTCGTTCCTGTTCTCAGTGTGCCGGTTTCGACGCCTCAGCGGCCGAGTGCGACAAAAAGATGCCCACTGCCCGCATCCAGCATGCTTAAATCAAGGCGCCTTCTGCGTGTGCCACTTGAAGCCTTCGCTGACAAACCTTCGTTTGAAAGCTCGTCGGAGGTCGCCTTCATCCGCCATCCACGCCGACGACACATGGCTGCGGGACGGAGCCTCGCTGGCTACGTCACAATCGGCGACTAAATATACCTACTGTATGGTGAACAGAAACAGGAGCGGACAGGCTCCTTGGACCGCCTAGCTAATCATTCGCTGTCCGAGCCAAGCTGTAAATGCTGTCAAAACCGTGCAGAAACTCAGAGATTGGTGCTCTCAGTCGACGACGGGACTTACGGGCAGCTTGCAGAAACTGGCAGATACAAGCTACCAGTAGGATTCGGGGTTCATGGCGCAGGGCGGCGCAGCTTGAGCCCACTGACATCGCTAGTACCGTCAGCCAGTGCAGTCTACATGTAACACTTTCACATGAGGCCCTAGCCCGAAACCTCAAAGAAAGCACTGCCAACCTGAATCCAACATTTTGCGGTCCTGGCACGGTGCCGGCTGTCAGCGAACTGGCACCTGGCATTGGACATGCCTTGAAGTGCAAGTGTGCAAGGCATCCAACACTTTTGCTCCCGGACAAGCGAAACAATTCTGCAAGAGGTTTTCCTCCCTAACAGAAGCGAAACAATCGGTTAACAAATCCATTCCTAAGTGTAGGTGCAACAACGCAAACACCGGTTAACAAGCTCACGCCCAAGTCAGAGCCACCAACAATCGGCTATCAAATCCATTCCGCTTAGCGGTAATGCAGAACATGTGTCTCTTGTGTAGTTTCTGTATGATGTTGATGTATATTCATAAAACGATTACGTCGACGGCATCTTCTCTGTGATAACTCGACAACGACATTTTGAAGCTTGGTTTGGTTTGAGTTAACGATATTAGTGTGGTGCTAACCCTCGAAGAAAGTGAATAAAACTTTGTATGTTCTCAATGTTATGGGATTCTAAGGGTGGGTTGGTGTTATTTCTAAACCGTAAACACAACTCTACTGTAAAACTGCTCGATCCGGAGCTGCTGAACCCTAAACCCTAAACCCCAAGTCTCTAATCCCTCAGCCCAGCCAGCTCTTACAACCGCCAAAGGTTGAGGGTGCTGTAGGGAATCCCTGCCCGGCCTCGTGTATTTCATTTACTTAAACCTCGCCCCCGAACGCAACCCAGAACTCCTTCACTCTCCACCCATGTCCCCGAGCTGCAGATTTTTCGAAAGCCTGAACCCTGACCAAACTAAACCCAAAACCCTGAAAGCACCCCAAACTAAACCCAAACCTTTATTGAACATGGGATACCTATGACAATCCGCTGTAATAGCCCCTGCATCAGTACTTTCAAGCTAAGGCCCAAGTACGTACTATGTGGAAGGTACATGGAGCAACTGTATTCCCTAAACCCAGGGTTCATCTGGGCCCCAAACCTCGGATCGCTTTGCTTCAAGTCGCTCCGCGGCGGCATTCCTAGGGCTTGGGGCTTGCAACTGTGCTTATGGTTTAGGGGTTTGAGGCTTCAGGGTTTAGGGGTTTAGGGTTCTTCAAGCCAGTGGAGGTTCAGACATACTATGCAAGTCCTCAGCCCTAAACCCGAAGCCGTAGGCACAGCCCATGAACTGGTATTTTTCAGTAAGTCTGGTGCTCCGGGTCACTGTTTCTAGCGCATTCTCTGCATATAAGATGATGCGCAAATATGCACGGGAGACATCGAGAGCCGTACGTCGGCAAACAGTTGTACACGAGCGCTGTGCGTGCAAGCCAACCAAGTCCCCTTGTTACTGTGCCACGCTGCTGTGGGAATCCAAAACCGAATGACCCGAATTCCAAAACCCCCGACCCTAAAGCCTAAACCCGAAAGCATCGAGGACCACACGCGCCTGCGCCTGTGACTGAACAAACCCTGTTTTAAATAACAACAAGCTGCTATTTTGATTCAAAACAAGCTGCAATGGATTATCTGTTAGTGTCTTGTGGAGCAACGGCTCTTCGGCGAAAAGTAGCTTGCAGTGTCTCAGTGAGAAGGAAAGGATTGGGTCTGTGCTGGATCCCCGTATCAACAGAGTTGATTTGTCCCAACAGGTGTATTGAGAGCCAACAGTCTCAATGATGTTAGCATGTATGACAACGACACCTTTATGCGTGGAAGCGGGTGTGGCGACTCCGGTCCGGAGCATTTCAAGAACCGAGGAAAACTTCCCAAGTCCCCAACAAACTCCCTCTGCCGCGGCAGCCCGAGGCCGCTACCAAGTTTGACCGCCGCTCGAGGTTCCCAACGGGGACCTTGCGCCAGGCCGGTTGCCGGTGGTGACGGTGGTGTAGGCGCTGTGGGAGCGGAGCAGTCAAAAGTGACACGATTCTTCATGCTTAAATCTTCGTTGCAGCTTCTCTCCTCTCTCCCGTGCGGACATTTGCCACCATGCGACCACTCGTCATGCTGTCGAGTTCTGAGGATCCAGACAACAAGGCTCGCACTCCGTCCACCACCTCGGCGCCATGCGGCGCTTGAGGGGAGAAACTCCAGCGGGGCCGAAACCTTCAACTTCAATTGGCATGACTAGGGCGACTTGACTCCGCAGTCATTTTGTATTGGGCGAACTGTAAACCCCGGAAACCCTGAGTCCAAGTCCGAAAACAGGCCTGTGCAGCACACTCACAAGAGAGTTTCTCAGAAGGGGAGTGCCGTTATGGCGATTATGTTGGGATCCATCCTTGCCATGCCCATTGGCATTGTTATTATTATTATTATTATGGCGTATCGTCTTCGTCGTTGCACTTGCGTTGCAATTGTGATCCCTGTCCTTGTCTTTGTCCAGTGCTATGACTGCTGCTTGTGCTACGTGTGTTGTTGCTGGCACTCTTTGACATCGTTACCGATGTTGCTAGGTGCTTGCAAGTGTCCCAGCCCGGCTTATTCGTTTCATTGCTACGGACATCACACTATATCACACTTGTCATTAGGAGTAGTAGAACTTAGTCGAATGGTTATTGGTCGCATCTTGTGTATGGCCGGGCTTGTGGTCATCGCGTGTGTCCTGGGCGCACGGCAGTGCATGCGTCGGCCACTGATGCTGGTGCTGCTGCGGAATTTGCACGCGTGTAGCTACGCACATGTGTACAGGATAAACACAGATATGCAGCCGCGTGTTTGTCGATAGCGCATTTCAGAATCGCCAATGCGCACGTGACGTGGTGACGTGATGCCCTGAGTCAGGGCTTGAGTACTTGCAGGCTTCGTGCCTGCAGTCAAATCACATGATGACACCCTGGCCTTAGCACTAAACCCTAATCACGAAATTTCATCATTCCGGAACAGTGTCCCCGAAATCCCCAACCCTTAACGGTGTAACCTCCGATACATCCTAAACCAAAAAGCTGAGTTGGCAGCCATACGTTAGTTCAACTTCAACGCTGGCGTGTGCGGAGAATATGGACCCTCCTGTCGGGGAAGGGTTTGGGGCCAGTTCTAGCTGATTCTAGCTCAAGCTCGTAACAGAGGGTTTGGCGGTGAACGGGCTCACGAAGGCTAAACTGAGCCTCCCTTCCCCTCAACGGCCCAAGAGGGGTACACAGCAGTTATTAGTTATTAGCTTCTATCCCCCGTAAATCTTATGAACTTTGGAGCTTTCAACCCTCCCTCCTTGCAGCCGTAATTATTTTGCATGTCTTGAGGCTCTCGAAGAAGCGCGACAGGCTTCTGGAAACGTCAAGGATTTCACACTGAATCCCATGCGCCCGCTCCACATCCTTGAATGTAGTGGTCTCTCAACCCCCGAAATCGAAATCAGTGCAATGTCCTCGGCAACGTCGATTCCCCTGCGTATTGGCACCTGCTTTAAAACGTAGGGCATCAGAGGCCAGAATCATATGCCGTCCTGTTCAAAAAAGGTGGACCGCGGCCTTACAGCTTTGGGTGCTATTCGCACTTACAATCCTTTTCCACGAAGAGCATATACCAATGCTGCCTACTCATGACATCACGAGGAAGAAAACGTAGCCCGTTCTATACTTGAGCAGTGACAGCACAGTTGCACAAAGACAAAGCCCCTTTGGACTGAAGCAAAAACTGCAGCCGCAGGTGGTGCCTTGGCGCAGGTCGATCCAGAATGCTAAATGCGCAGTCCGCCTGACAGAGGGCTTTTTGCGCGGGGCATATACTTCGGGTTGTCGGCAAAGGCTTCCTGTATTTAGGCCGAACGCCCCTGCTATGCCTTAATCGAGATTTGGACTATACTATACATACCCAGGTCGACAGGAAAGCAGTTTACAAAGTAACCCACCTGGTTTCAAGGGGCCAAGGGGTCGCTGCACATGCCTTCAAATGATGGACCCTACGACATGCGCTACCTGGGGAAGGGTGCTTCCTCGTAATTTTCTGGGGTTCGGGAATTGGGCATAAACTGTGTGCTTTGCGGTTTGTGGGTGCTGCTTCACTTCCATGCTTTGCCTCATGAGCTCCAGAAACAACTGGCGTACGCCCGAAAGCAGTCCGGAGTCCAAACCCCAATACCAGCGATCACGCTTTTTCCCATGCAGCGCGTGTCCCCCTTGCGCTCCACAGAATCTGCCTGGTGCAAATTCTGGACAATGAATTCGGGAGGCTTCCACAAAGGTGCCTGAATCATGAGCGCAGGGCCTGAGACACAAACAACAACGCACATGCATGTTACTCGCGGTATGTATGTACATATGAGGGAACCCTAGGAACCGACATTGCTCACTTTTCAGGCTCCTCCTCCCCTACCACCCTTACCCTTGTCCTTGCCCGTGGCGCGACCTTGGCGGAGGATTAGACGCTTTTTCAGTCTTTGCTTGAATCGAGGCTGAACCGATTGATGTTAGGGCCGTGTAGGGGTTACGGCTTCAGGTCGTTGGCTGGATCTCGGACAGCCCGAGGCCTGAAAAACGCTTGGGTGCTTGGATTCGTCTTCAAAACTGCTCTCATCGTGGCTTCTCGCTGTCGCTGTTGTTGTGAATGATACTGATCGTAGCCGTTATCGTGATCTTCTTTGCTTGCTGCCAGCTCAGTGTTATGTTGTATGCATACGCTAAAGTTACCCACTGCACAGCCCGCGTGGTTAAACGGTTTTGAAATTCGGTTTAATTAAAGCAGAAGCTGGGACCGTGAGACACGAGCGTGCCATGATTATTCATCCTGTTCTTGCATTGCAGCTGTTGTTGCTTGTGCCCTCGTTGCACATATTGCCATTCGACGAGACAAGATTTGCTGCTGTCACAAAGCTCTACTCCGATTTTCCGTCCTCCCCAACATGTGTCACTTCAGCTGTCGGGGTTCGCATTTCCTACAAGTATCCAACTATTGCTATAACCTCGACACCTGCATGCACTAACTGCACGTCATACTCTCTTGTGATTGCCGCAAGTACTGCAGGTTGCGCTGCTCTACTGCTATCGTAAATTTGGTTGGTGGTGTTACCGCCAGTGCTCTCAATGTTGCTAGCTTGGCCGGTTGGCACAACTACGACTACTACTTCATTAGTTGTTTGTAATACGGCGTTCTGCGAGAACTAATTACTGTCAACTACTGTCAATACTGCTGCTACTGCTCTTGTATTGCTACCATCACTATCGTCAACATTCGTACTGTACGTATGTCTTGTCTTTTGACGACTGTCCCAGTCTTCTGCTATTACCATGCCAACATTCATTCCGGCATGCGCTGAGCTTAGCCATGCAGCACAGAGACTTTCTGTCTAACATGTATGTGCTCATCTTGAGCGTGGGTTCGCAACTTTAAACTGCCAGGTTCAGCCCTAGTGCACAGAAATCTACTAGGTTGGCCCCTCAAAGCCTCTGAAAAATATTCGTAAACAAGACCCTCTATACCCCAATAAGGGAAAATGTAAAATGCCCCAAGGGCCTACCTAGTCTATGATTCAGACCCCAGAACTTCCAGCTTCAGGGCTTCTCAAGCTGCCAAGACCACAATGCAAGAACGACGTCGCAAGCACCGTTTAGACAACCTTACTTGCAGGACCCCAAGCCCTCCCTGGGGCCACTGCCGGCCCCGCCGCCTGAAAGCAATGGAGCATTTGCAGCCGGCCAGTTCGAAGACAGCATAAGCTATAGAACTTTCGGAAACATTCGGACACCTGCTACAACTTTGTATTCGTGGGCAGTGATGAATCTGTAGCTGCCATGGACCTCCTAGCAAGGGGCTTTCGTCTTAAGTCTTTGCTCGCTCTGCCTCTCGGGATTCTGCGTGTGTGCACCTTGATGTGCTTCCTGAGGTATCTTTGACGCAGCGTCTTCAGATGCTATAATATATGGGGGCTAATGTCGAAGTGTTGACAAGTGCTGATTCCCGCATTTGGGTTTGTGGCTCCGGCTGAGAGGGCGGCCATAAGCATGTACATGCGAAGCTTAGACAAGCCACTGCACAATGCTACCAGGGTCACGACTCTGATTCTCAAGAGACAATGGATGAACTACACAAAGTGACTACTAGATGATGAGATAGTCAAGGAAGTAAACAATGATCTCCAGGAACGAAGAGGGGCATATAGAGCACAGACCGTGCTAAAGAAACTCGCAGGGACCATTGTGGGACCACTGACAAAACGTACAGGCTGATGTAGGGATGTCGCTGCAGACTGTTTCTCGTAGTGAGGGTCCCGCTGTACAGCTCAAACGGCAGCATCCTGACACAAAACTATGGTCACTTTTTTGGTCCTTAATATAATACGGCACCGAATATTTAGGGTACCCAAAAAGGGGACCCTAATTTGGACAACCACAAACTCCGGGATCGCCTTGCCCTCGGCGGTTCGCGGGGCGAGGCTTGGCCTGACGCATGGGGTGCCTGTAGCCGAAAAGACCTACCTTTTTATGGACTCATATATAGAAACCATAATCAGGAACCCCAAAAAGGACCTACCTTTGTAAGGAACTGTATCTAGAAACCATAAGAAGGAACCCAAAAAAGGACCTACCTTTCTAAGGAACTATATTATATAGAAACCATAATCAGGAACCCAAAAAAGGTAGGCCCTTTCGGCTACAGGTGGGTCGTACATTGTACAGCGATCAAGCTCTGAATCCTGCCAAGTCGCCTTGCCATGATGCCAGCGCGCTGGCCGCGCCTCAATTACGGGGTGTTGCCCTTATGCAGCTACAAGCTTAAAACCGATGTGTAACAGGAGGAGGCTCGAGATTTCGGCCCCTGAATACACAAAAGTAGCAGTAGGAGTCGTAGTCGTAGTCGTAGTCGTAGTAGTAGTCGGAGTAGTAGTCGTAGTAGCAGTAGCAGTAGTAGTAGTAGTAGTAGTAGTAGTAGTAGTAGTAGTAGTAGTAGTAGTAGTAGCAGTAGCAGTAGCAGTAGCAGTAGCAGTAGTAGTAGTAGTAGTAGTAGTAGTAGTAGTAGTAGTAGTAGTAGTAGTAGTAGTAGTAGTAGGTAGTAGTAGTAGTAGTAGTAGTAGTAGTAGTAGTAGTAGTAGTAGTAGTAGTAGTAGTAGTAGTAGTAGTAGGTGGTAGTAGTAGTAGTAGTAGTAGTAGTAGTAGTAGTAGTAGTAGTAGTAGTAGTAGTAGTAGTAGTAGTAGTAGTAGTAGTAGTAGTAGTAGTAGTGTAGTAGTAGTAGTAGTAGTAGTAGTAGTAGTAGCAGCAGTCATCAACTCTCTTAAGATTATAACGCTGGGGGGAGAAATCTTCCGAGCATGAAGTAAGCAAAGAAACTCACGATGATAGTTAATGACGGAAGGCAACACGTAGAGCAACAAGGAGGCAAAGGATTTCGGCTGAAAGCAGTAGTATGTACACTTGAACCACCAGAAGTGCAATGACTACCTAAATTTCTACCCCAACACACTAGGCCCCGAGATGTTGCGTAACACCATAAACCGACGAGCCGAGTGGCCGCCTCCCCACTCTGGCCTCCATTCTCCTGAGGGGGGATCTTGGGATGTGTTAGATTAGGCTTCGTTGAATTCGAAGCTTCAGGAGTTGTTAGGCTTCAGGGGTTTCAATCACAGAAGAAAGCCAAGTAGTAATTATTCCTAGAAATAGCACTAGTGATGGAAATAATAAGTCCACAATTTCAATGTTGTAACAAGAATACTTGCAGTGGCAATGGTAACCCTGGAAGCGCTTGCTTGCTTCGAAGGCGTTAAGGATTCCTAAACCGCGTTTGGCCTGACATCAGCCCCTCGCCGGGAGGGCACTGCGTGCACCGCCAGCAGGACAGTAACGCCGTAAGCTGGACTAAACTTTCCGAGAATCGAGTGCAGAAGGTGGTAGAAAACATAGTACTGCGCAAGCGAATCTTGACGACTGCGGGCCCAAACGTGCCATGCAGTGCCGAAAAAACCATACCCTGAAACCTCAACCCTGGAATCCCGAAAGGCAGAGCTAATGCGATCAACAGCTACTTCGGAAATCCGAAAATTCACACGCTCCCCAAACTCAAAAGTTCTTGAAGACGCATCATCAGCATACTCTGAAGCCTTAAACCGCGCTTGTTGGTTTTAGCTTGGAGTTGGGTGTTGCAAAGGCTTGTGCTGTGCTTTAGACAGGCTGTCATAGGACTTGTAGAGGTTGTTTGTTTATGAGCTTTTACAAGGCTTTATTAGGTGAAGCGTACCCCGATACCCCTAAAATCCGAAATGCCTTCAACATCGTCAAAACTCCAAAACCCTTTGGCGCTTCAGCCTTAAAAGCCCAAGGACCGAGGAGCCCTGCTAGAATTGCTTGGAACATAACATTTGAGGGTGCTGATTCGGTGTTTTAGGTATGCAAGCTTGCCTGCAGGAGCTGGCCCGAGGCGGGAGAGCGGCCGCCAACGGACCTCGGGCTTCGGTTGAGGCGTGGGGCCCACTGAGGGGTCCGGGGCTTCGGGGTATGTTTGGTTTGAGCTTGGGATAGTTTGTGACCCCAGGGTTGAGAAGTTCTGCCTGGAGAACCTTGCGCCGATCTGGTCTTTTGTTGGCGGTTGGGGTTTGTGGGTCTGGGGAGTCGAGTTTCCACTGCTGACCTAAATACATCTCAGTTGTTTCGCAAGATCCTGCTCTTCCAGAGTTTCTCATGCACTGTTCAGGGATTTGGGGTTCAGGATAAGAGACTTCGCAGCCAAATCAAGCGGGTTACGGCGATGATTTTTAAATACCCGGACATCTAAACAAGTTAAACAGGTGTGTCATACTACTTCCGTGGGCATTGTCTCTGGGCCGCCCAATTTTAAAACACACGGAAAGACAACAACACAAGACTCCAGCCCGCAGACTCCGTCCTCCAACCTTCGCCTCTCCAGCCCTCTTCCCAGCCCTTCAGCCCTCCAGCCTTCCAGCCTTCCAACCCCTCCTGCCATCCAGCCAGCCTTCCAACCTTCCAGCCTTCCGGAGGGCTGGACGGCTGGAAGGCTGGAAGGCTGGAGGGCTGGAAAGCTGGAAGGCTAGAAGGCTGGAAGGCTGAAGGCTGGAAGGCTGGAAGGCTGGAAGGCTGGAAGGCTGGAAGGCTGGAAGGCTGGAGGGCTGGAAGGCTGGAAGATTAGGGAGCCTGGAAGGCTGGAAGGCTGGAAGGCTGGAAGGCTGGAAGGCTGGAGGGCTGGAAGGCTGGAAGGCTGGAAGGCTGGAGGGCTGGAAGGCTGCAAGGCTGGAAGGCTGGAAGGCTGGAAGGCTGGAAGGCTGGAAGGTTGGAAGGCTGGAGGGCTGGAAGGCTGGAAGGCCGGAGGGCTGAAGGCTGGAAGGCCGGAAGGCTGGAAGGCTGGAGGGCTGGAAGGCTGGAGGGCTGGACGGCTGGAGGGCTGGACGGCTGGAAGGCTGGAAGGCTGGAAGGCTGGAAGGCTGCAAGGCTGGAAGGCTGGAGGGCTGGAAGGCTGGAAGGCTGGAAGATTGGGGAGCCTGGAAGGCTGGAAGGCTGGAAGGCTGGAGAGCTGGAAGGCTGGAAGGCTGGAAGGCTGGAGGGCTGGAAGGCTGGAAGGCTGGAAGGCTGGAGGGCTGGAAGGCTGCAAGGCTGGAACGCTGGAAGGCTGGAAGGCTGGAAGGCTGGAAGGCTGGAGGGCTGGAAGGCTGGAAGGCTGGAAGGCTGGAAGGCTGGAAGGCTGGAAGGCTGGAAGGCTGGAGGGCTGGAAGGCTGGACGGCTGGAAGGCTGGAAGGCTGGATGGCTGGAAGGCTGGAAGGCTGGAAGGCTGAAGGCTGGAAGGCTGGAAGGCTGGAAGGCTGGAGGGCTGGAAGTAAACACCCGGAGCTAAAACATACGGATTAAAACAGGTGTCTCATACTACCTCTGTTTGGATCTTGGGTTGCCTGCCCCCCACATGTTTTAAAATTCTCACCGTAACTGTTTTGCCTAATAGTTGCGAAATGCTTGCGAGACCTTTGCGCAAGTGTTCTGCTTCCCAACTGATTGGGTAGCGACATCTTTGCGAAAGAAAGCTTAGTGGAGCTGTGTTTAGTGGCCCCCCACCAAACGCCCACCCCCCACCAAACGCAACGTCCCAAATACTGTGTTACCCCTTGACCTCTTGACTTGGCTTGGGGTCTAGGTGGGCTTATGTTTTTTTTGCAATGCTTTGCATCCCACCGAGCTAGGACGAGCATGCACTGCAGGGTCTGCAGGGTACACTCAGAAGTACAATAGAGAACAGTGTGTCCGCAGCTTGTGATTTACGACACTTTCAGGGATCAAAACTATACAAATGGCCATATCGATGCTGTCGATTCTCCGACTTGTAGACAGTCGTTGACTCATGGTGGGCTTCAGGGTTTAGGAGGGTTCAGTAGGTTTCGTGCGGGCTTCGGTTGGCAGGTGGGCTTAAGTAGAAGGGTTTAGGAGGGCTCGGTAGGTTTCGGTGGGCCTGGGGGTCCAGCTTAAGTAGAAAGGCCTGGGAGGGTCTACGGATGCCCGGGTTGCGGGTGGGGCGTTGGAGGGAGACTACTGTAACTAACTGGCTCTTGAGAGGGGTGCGGGGATTGGGCTCAGAGATAAGCTCTTTGAATGATGTGCAGTTGGTCAGTAGTAGTACAGTAGTACAATACTGTGGTAGGTTCACCTTCTCTGTGTTTCGTCGAACACAGGCCCCATTCGTCCATAGAATCCTAACAAACAGGACCAACCGGCTTTAAAGCAGTATAATTTCAAGACGGGGTGTAAAATGTTCCGGTCTTGTTGATGTCGAGGTTTTGGCAAAACCTTGAAACCAAACCTCGATCACCCCAAGACAAGTACCAAGACTAAAGACCCTCCATTTTGAAGACTCCCCCCCCTTCCCCTCCACCATCGACCAAGTTTGAGGCCTGGTAAAGTAGTAATTACGAACAGTAGCAGTAGTTCAGTAATACAGTAGTAGCTCGGGCTTGCTCAAACTACGTGGCATGACGTGTGCGTGGAAATTGAAATCAGGGTCTTCTGCTATGTGGGGTTCTGTAGGTGTGGTCATGAGGGCACAGTGGTAGCACAGTTGTGGTAAAGTAGAAGTCCAGTAGTAGTACAGCAGTAGTAGAATAGTAGTACTCGTTACCCTCAAGGCCCTAAATCCCAAACCGTTTAAACCTTGAACCGCTTTTGAATTCAGGCCTATTGCGACTGCCGTGTACCCTTGAACCGAAACCCTAAACACCGAACCTTCAAAGCCCCACGCCCTAAGCGCTAAGTCCTCACCCCTAGTTGCCGCCCGAAGCACACTGGGCGGGCAGGATGGCAGACTTCCTGCGCATTCAACACTTTGGTCCGAGTTTAGGGAGTTCTTGCTTTTAGCTGTGCTTTAGGAAGTACTCTCCTGGCAGGGCTTTCGGATCTATATTTGTTTGTTCTGATGCTTAGATGCATTGATGCTTCGCAGTGGCTTAAATAACTTGTGGAGGAAGGCGGCTTGAGGGCTTAAGTTTGTTCGGGTTGCCTATGGTGGGTTGCTGGGGCTTTTGCGTGATTCAAGATGAGGCTGTATAGGGCTTTGAGGTTTCGATCTGTTTAGGGTTTGGGTTTGGAAGGCCAAAGAACACTTAGCGATGCTTCTGCTTCCAAGCTGTACTTGGAGCCCAAAGTCTCAGTGTCCGTACAGCGTTGATCCCATTTATGACTCCACGACCTGATGTGACTTTATTTGTGTAGAAAACCCTGAACCAATAACCCTGTATTCCTGCATACGGTATTTGCCAAGTCCTGACCCTCCAAGCACATTATAACGGTCTCGAATCCAAAATCCTCCCATGTGGCCGTAGGAGCAAAACTAGCCCGCCCATTGGACCCAGAGTGAATGCAACACATAAGATGGCAAAAAAACAACTGGCATATGCGGCAGACAAAAACGTTCTCCAACCGATTACGACCACCGCCAGGCGCTCAACTATTCCAGGACAGCTTTCTTTGACCAGCCACTAAATGCACAAACTTCCAAGACAATTCTCTCCGACCGACCATACGCACCGTCAGATGCACAACTTATTCCAGGACAGTTTTCTTTGATCAGCTCCCAAAAAGCACAAAAATGCCAAGACGGTTTCCCCGACCGACCACAGACGGTACGCCAACATACTCAAAGCAGGAAGCCTGCGCTACATGCTGCGAAAATACCGTCACGACTTTTGCTTTGGGGATGAAATGGCTTTTAGGACCGTCCCACGCAAGGCCCCTTGGTGGATCAGAAAAAAGAGAACATCGAACAAGTTAACAGTCCTTTTCTCATCTTGAGGGAGCAGAACATCCTGCGTACCTCAAGGTGCAAGAATACTGAATACCCTTATCATGGTCCTTAACATCATTGTCCAGTAAATGTAACATACCCCCCCAACCCCCCTCTCCCCAAACCAAATGAGGGCCAAAGGCCTCCGCTGATGCCGATGCAGCCTCTGCCGGGGCCTCGGCTGGACCGGAGCAGGCAACCAAAGTTAATGCATCTCTGTGGGCCTCATTCAGTAAGACTGGCCACCATCACAAATCGCAGGGTATGTCTGAAAGGCAGCAACAGCTACCGATGTGCATGGACATGCGAGCTCATCCAGCTGATGTTAGAAGGGCCAAGAACCCTGAGAAATCACTGTTCGCCATAGTGGCTGGAGCATGTCCAAGTTGTCACCAGAAAACCCACTGCTATTCGATATCCTCCATACCACCCCGTCTTGCCCAGTGCAACCTTGCCTGTGCGACAGGCTGCACCGCCACAGCCTGCAAAGGCGCACTCACTCAGATGCCGATGCTGCAGCATTTTGGTGGTATTGCTTCTACCGCTAAAATATGACACCGTATGTGCATTGTCGTCGAAGTTTGTTCTGTCGCCGCCGTGCTGCAGCTGCTGCAGCTGCTGCTGCTGCTGCTGCTCCTGCTGCTGCTCCCGCTTGAGCTTGTTGTTGACCACACGGTTGAGGTTATCGAGTTGTCGCTACCATGTAGCTTGCGATGGTTCGTCTTTCTGAAGTACCGCAGGGGTACTCGTCCCATTTATGACCACATGCGACCCCTGTAATCCCATCTGAAAGACTCTTCCGGACTGGCCGACTAATCCTTGTGCACCCAAGCCCTGCACCACAAATCCAAGTCGCGAATCCTGCAGTAACATGGCCAAACGGTGGTGTGGAGAGTCTTTGGGGCAGCCTCAACTGCAGCTTTGGGTTGCGCCTTTGGCGCAACCTGTGCAACGTTTTGCGAGAGATGCGAGGTTGAGGGTTGTTGAGGGGGTTGGGGATCATTGGCGATAAGGGTTTGGGGGCGTTGTTGTTTTGGATATAGGGTTCCGGGCTGTTCGGGATTTGGTGTTGGGAAGCCACGCGGTACCAGAGGTTTCAATCAAACTCAAGGATGCTGTGCGCGGGCCTATCGGACTGGCCACATGCTAACCCGCTTGGCCGTAAGAGTTCTGGTGAGAGCGACTAGGTAGTAGCTAGTAGTAGTAGTAGTAGTAGTAGTAGTAGTAGTAGTAGTAGTAGTAGTAGTAGTAGTAGTGGTAGTCGTCGTAGTAGTAGTAGTAGGAGGAGGAGGAGTAGTAGTGGTAGTCGTCGTAGTAGTAGTAGTAGTAGTAGTAGTAGTTAGTGTTAGTAGTAGTAGTAGAAGTAGTAGTAGTAGTAGTAGTAGTAGAAGTCGTAGTAGTAGCAGTAGCAGTAGCAGTAGCAGTAGTAGTAGTAGTAGTAGTAGTAGTAGTAGAAGTAGTAGTAGTAGCAGCAGCAGTAACAGTAGCAGTAGCAGTAGCAGTAGCAGTAGCAGTAGCAGTAGCAGTAGCAGTAGCAGTAGCAATAGCAGTAGCAGTAGCAGTAGCAGTAGCAGTAGCAGTAGCAGTAGTAGTAGTAGTAGTAGTAGTAGTAGTAGTAGTAGTAGTAGTAGTAGTAGTAGTAGTAGTAGTAGTAGTAGTACGAGCAATAGGAATGGGAGTGGGAGTGGGAGTAGTCGTAGTAGTAGTAGTAGCAGCAGCAGTAGTAGTAGTGGGAGCAGTAGCAGTAGCAGTGCTAGTAGTAGTAGTAGTAGTAGTAGTAGTAGTAGTAGTAGTAGTAGTAGTAGTAGTAACAGTAGTAGTAGTAGGAGTAGTAGGAGTAGTAGGAGTAGTAGCAGTAGTAGAAGCAGTAGTAGTAATTAGTATAGTAGTAGTAGTAGTAGTAGTAGTAGTAGTAGTAGTAGTAGTAGTAGTAGTAGTAGTGGTAGTGGTAGTGGTAGTGGTAGTGGTAGTGGTAGTGGCAGTGGAAGTGGTAGTGGTAGTGGTAGTGGTAGTGGTAGTGGTAGTGGTGGTCGTAGTAGTAGTAGTAGTAGTAGTAGTAGTAGGAGTAGGAGTAGTAGTGTAGTGGTAGCAGTAGTGGTGGTAGTAGTGGTTGCAGCAGCGATAGTAATAGCAGCAGCTGCAGCAGGAAGATTCCCTGATCGACATAGCCGGCGGAATATTGAACACAACAACGAGACTGGGCATAATCGTGGTCAAACTAGTATAGTATCATTATGAACAAAATGATACAACGCAACGTAATATGAAACAACGTGATGTGGCACAGCAAATATCAGCCAGCTTTCAAGAATCAGACCCGAAACCCCAGTACAAGATCCATTAAACCCTAATGATGATCCACAAAACCTCACAAAAGGGCCCCGACTAAGTGACAAACAACATCGTCACTACGTCATAAGAGGGCATTATCACAGCCCAACTTAAGGCTATGCCCTGGAGCATCTGCACTATCCCACAGACCAAGAAGAACCAAAAAAGTAAGCCTAATGCTCAGGTCCAACATTTCACCCCCCGGCTCGCAGCCTGCATCTGCTGGGAATCGGCAACCAACATGTCACAACGGAACCAGAACAGAGCAGCTCGACTCTATTTCCAAGAACAGAAAGGCTCGAGTGCTAGTAGCACATCACAATAAGCATAACAGCCATATCAAGGGTACTAGTGCCGTGGCTCAACCAGTGACCATTGTTGTAGCAGCGACTGTTGTTGTTGCTGCTGCAACAAGCAATAGCACCAAAGCAATTCCTGTGGCAAAGGATTTAGGCATGTACAAACGATAGTCACGGACCAAACTCAGACGAATTCAATAACAGTACGAGTACCAGTCACAATAAGAATGACAATGATCTCTCGCTCTCTCTCCCGCGCTCATGCTGACACTCTGCTTGCATTTCTTTCGGTGTTTCTTCCTCTCTCCATTCTTCGTTGTTTCTTTTTACGTTGGACGCGTGTTTTGTCCCGCTTGTCATTTTGTCGTGCAGCACATATTGCGGGGTTGCCACGACAGTGTTGTGAAAGTGGGAGGAGACGAGTGCCTTTAGCGGGCAAACGGTAAGAGAGATTGTTTTTTGCTGTCGTTGCGGGGCGCGTTTTTTTTGCTGTCGTTGCGGGGGCGCGTTTTTCTTTGCTGTCGTTGCGCGGGCGCGTTTGTTTTTTTGCTTGCTGTCGTCCCTGCGGGGCGCTTGTGTTTCTTTTTCGCTCTGTTGGCGGGGACGCGTTTGTTTTTTTGCTGTCGTTGCGCTCGCCGGGTGCTTGTTCTTTGTTACTCCTACTCCTACTCCTACTCTCCTACTCCTACTCCTACTACTACTACTACTATACTACTACTACTACTACTACTACTACTACTACTACTACTACTACTACTACTACTACTACTACTACTACTACTGCTACTTTTGCTTTGCCGTTGTTGCGCGTGCCGGGGTTTCTGGCTTCGCACGTGATACACACCCCTCAATGGCATGTCTTCCGTAATGGTGATGACAGAATACGTATACTACAGACAAGCATTCGGTCGGAAACATGTCTGTATGACAGAATCAAGGCATATTCCATATTCCGTCTAAGAAAGATATGTCTTCTTAGCTCACCTCCACCTCGGGGGACGCGTTTTTTTGCTGTCGTTGCGGGGGCGCGCTTTTTGTTTTGCTGTCGTTGCGGGGCTCGCTTTTTTTTGCTGTCGTTGCGGGCACCGGGGTTCACTCACTCACTAGCTTCCTGGGTCCGCGCAGCGAGAACAAAAACAACATAAAGGCAACTACAGCAAAAAAACACTGGTTCCGCGGGCAAGCCATTGAAACAGGCTAGCGCCCAGTACTGAAATTGGTTGAAATTCAGGCTTTGGCCTGTATTTTATTGCGTTTCATTACGAGTGCTCTCTATTGGGAGGCATCCCGCAATCAGACACCGCTTGTGTTGTCAAGATCCGGCATTTGGCTACTTGGCATTCTTGAAGGTCAAGCCAGAAGGAAATAGAAGGAACTGAAGAAGGGACGGTCATCAAAAGACCGGCCGGTGCTTCTGTAGGAAGTCAATACCTTACACAACCCTGACAAAAAACATAAACGTGTTTACTTTCAAGGTTAAAACCCTTACAAAATGATTCATACACTCTTGATTTCGGGGACGAACAAGCCCAAGCGTCCTCAGATCTGGCCTTCTTCGGCGGCTTCGCTCGCGCTCTCTTAGGTGGGGCGACCTGCCACCACAGATCTTGAAACGGTCTGCAGGGATGGCAACGGCACGAACTCGCAGCCCAGCGGGCGATCAGGCGATTGTCCGAGAAGCGGCTCGGGGCTTAGCCGTACGAATACGCGCCAAGAATGAGGCAACAAGTACAATCAATATCAACACATGGCTTGCGTGGCTCTTGCTCTAGAAAATGGTGGGTCACTTACACATCGCCTTGCAGATCTCCATAGGCGCATATGGGAAAGCTCTCTGCTCGCTCCGTTATTCAAGCGCTTGATGAATTTCCCCCAGAGTACCGTCGGTAACATGTGGAAATGCAGTCCTAGTTGGGCAGAGGTTTTATCATTGCGGGAGGAGTCCATTCAAAGGCCTGTGAGAGCTCGCCAGGCGGGGGCTCCGACGGCGCAAGAGTGGCTTTAGCCTTTCAGGGCTCAGGGTTCTAAGATTTTTGTTTCCGATCTTTTCCACATTTTAGGGTTTAGTTTTTCGGGTTTACGGCTAAGGGTGATTTTCGCTTGGGGCTGGGAGTCTAGAGTCTATGCGATTCTTCCAAAATGAAGTTCCGCTGTGTACCTCGACGACACCGTCGTCCTTCTTCAATATGGAGTCTAGTCACAGAGTCTAGTCTAATGAGTTGACAAACAGATTTGCGACACCCCCGAAAGAACGGGCCTCTCATAAGTTAGTCTTATGCATGAGATTCAGAATCACCGCTTCACTGTGAAGCTGTAAACCCTCAAACCCAAACCTCCAACCGAAACCCCTGAACCCTAAATACACTTGTAACTCTGGGCCCCAAGAGCCCCTAAGTGCAACAAAAATATTATGTTTAACCCTGAACCCGAAGCCCCGAACCACTCCCGTTTAACCCTAAAGAAGCCGACCTAGACTCCCCTGGCAACCCCTCTAAACACCAAGTATCCAAACCCCCTTACAACTGTCCATTTTTCTCGCTAAGCCCTAAAGTTCTAAAGCTGCCCTCGGGCCCCTGCCGTGCTCTTCCCTGCGCCTTCGGCTCTTTGGCTTTGGACTTAGGTCCCAGCGGAGGGTGTTGTTAGAGTCAAGTCCCTTCTCAGGATGTTCAGGCTTAGCGGGAAGGACGTAGCTTGGGGGTTTTCCTTGTAGAGCCTTTCGTATTCAAGCAAGTTTTCTGGCTGCTTTTTGGGCTCGGTGGCTTGGCACTTTGAAGGAAGCTTTCAAAGTTCAGGCTTTAGCCGAATTTTGGATTCCATGGTTTTTACAATGTTTTAATCGAGATGCGGTCATGTCTGTTTAAGCTACATGCTCCACGTCCACAGCATGCACGCCTGCCGCTTAGCACGATTTGCTGTTGCTTCTTTCCTCTTTCTTCAGTTTTCAGTGTTTGCATTCATGGAAGATTCCTCAGGTTTGCTCAGGGCAGTGAAAGAAGGTGTGCGGACCGGGGAGGGTGGGAAGGTTCGCGATCATGGCACGGGTCTCCAGGTTGCAGGGCATCGGGGCTTTAAGATTTTGCCTTCTCTGTCTTAGATCCCTGTGCACAGCCTTCCGGAGCAAAGTTTCAACCATTCCTCAAAGCGAAACAACATTGCGGACATGGATTAAGGAGGCTTTGCATGGCTTTCAGCGGCACGGATTCTGCCCGGACCCTACAATCTGCCCAAGCCAAGACCGAAAATCCTAAATGCCTAAGACCTAAGGCCCTCTCGGCCTACATCCTCCTCCGTCAAGCCCCTACTACATCCGAAGCATGCGACAGACTTTTACATCGGCAAAAAATCGTGCACACAGCTGTGTATGTGCACATGATAAAGAAGACAAAGTACTCTCGTGCAGTGGTACGAAGACTGCTCATGCAATGAATGAGTTCAGACAAACAGACGAAGAAACGAATAATTGATACACACATATGTAAATAAGCAGATGAATCAACAAATAAATATCTATATATATATATATATATATACACACATATATATATATATATATATATAAGAAGAGAGAGAGAGAGAGAGAGAGAGAGAGAGAGAGAGAGAGAGAGAGAGAGAGTTGAACGGCCTGGAGGGGAGCATTGGAAACGCGCGTTTTGAGAATTACGCAGATGCTGTAGCATCGGAATATGAATATCTGTCTCTTTCTGTGGACTTCATGAAGAGTTCGCTCATAATCAACATTAACACACAATCGTGATATGTTGTTGTGTCATCTGGATCGGAAGCCCTTGAAGGGTTTGGGTTTGCCACACAACATACCTGGCAATGCCGTCAGGTCCGAAGGCCCAACCACCTTTTACAGGGTTTGGCGCTTAGTGCTGCCTTTCCACCAATCCCCTTACTAGTAATTCATTGTTTTCTTGCACGAATAATGATTCCTACTAGGGTTTACAAGTAGCAGTACCCTCAGTTCGGCCATGTGTTTGGTGAATCAGGTCATCTCTTCAAGGGCTTGGAGGTTGGCCAACCATCTTTATGTTCTTAAGCTAGGGGCTCGTATGTTCAATACCTCATGTTAGAATAATAACTATCGATGAACCCGTGCCCTTGAAGCCTGCTTGGCATGGGCGGCTAGGGCTGTGGGTGTTGCAGAAACAGCATTCTTTGTCAGGTTGCTCGTATCATGGCATTGCTTCCAACCATCCTCTGGTTTTGATGATGTGCCACCCGTCTTCGCTTCTTAACCAAACACTATTCAAAGTTATGGCTTTTGAGAACCGAGGCACGCCTTCCATGAACTGAGGCTTGTCATCCATCCCTCCTTGCCTGGGCCTTGGGGACTCATGCTGGGTGTTCAGGAACCAGTCACTTCTTTTGGGATTTCAGGCTTCGGCGGCACTGACACGCCTGAACCCATCAGGATCGATTTAGTTTCTGTTTTGGATCCTTTTCATCTTAAATTTAGCGGTTTTGCTCGAACAGCTCCTGCTCTCGGCCTCTTATCTACACATATATATATATATATATGTATGTGGGTATGTATATATATATATATATATATATATGTCTGTATTAGGCCATGGGTCTTGGTGAACCAGTGTTCTTTATCGGACTTCTCGTTCCATAGCATCGCTGTTGCCAAAATTCATGGTTCGGCAGGGCCAATCGGGCATCTCTAGTTTGATTTGCCACCCATCTACATATGGCTTTTGGGAACCAAGGTATTTCCTCTCTCTCCCACAATACATACATATGTATCTATATATACACATATTTAACCTGATAGATTTATGTAAATATACACATGTATATGTGTACACGTGTATGTACATACGTATGGACCATACGGACATGCATGCACACACACACATATATATATATATACACATATATGTACACATATATTTATATGTATATATATATATATATACGTACTTTACATACATTACACACATACATACATAAATACATACATGCATACATTTAGACTCTGATACACACATGGTAGGTTTGTACATATGAACATATATGAACATACATGTACCCACATACACATAGTAATCGTTTGTGGGAGGAGAGCCGAGCCACTGGGTCCTGGGGGTCCCAAGGTGGGGCGGGGGCATGCAAAACAGAAAAAGAGATACACATGTTGATTTTGTTTTGCCTCCCCACTCCACTCACTCCACCCCCCTACCTCCACGATATCAGTATCATTGTGATTCGGTGGCAAGCAGACGTAGTTGCTTTTAAAAGGTAGACTTAGTCACTGCACAATTTGATGGATAAGCTATGTTTAACCTATTTTTCCAACCGAATATCATAGTCAATGCTTTTTGATATTCCCCAGCGCAACATTCTGTATTCAAAATCCCACCCTCGATGGCGTACCTTTCTGTATACATACATTCATGAAGATAAATATAAACATACATGTAAATACAAAGGCACATGTACATGTAATCAAATGTATAAACTAACAAAATAAAACACAAAGAATAACACACACACACAAATAAAAAAATACATACAGAAATATTGCCTATATGTATACATGGTCGCACCCCTACGTGGGGTCCGCTAGGATTGAAGCCCATTCATCTGGCTGTTTGTTGTGGGCGTCTGCAAGGGTTCTACATTTGTTTACTGTATTTGGTGTGTCTGGGAGCACGCAAAACACGCAAAAAGCGCACTCCCAGGGTGGCCCGTTCTGCTTGGTCATTGGCTTAACGGCTATAACCACCCTCCGGGGTTGCACGCATTTTTCTAACAATCATGAGAGCGTGAATGCCAATGAACCAATTCATCAATAAACAAAAAACAACAATTACGCCGGTCCATAGGGGGAAAGGGATTGGTTTATTGATCGAATTCTGATCGATACGGGAGTTTTTATGGGAACGAATAGTGGGGTTACTAGTCGGCATAGCATTCCACAAGATCTATGGTATTCAGCTACAACGCGGCTCTTGTCGGGCACACATGAGACAGAATAGCAGCGTGATCCAAGTTACTACGAAGCCCAGGTTTTTACGAGGCAAAGCTTAGGTCTGCTACGAAGAAGGCTAGCATTTTTCGACTGTAAAGTTGTGATACCAGGGTCAGCATCGTTGCTGTTCCTGGGGGTGAGTCTTGGGTTTGACACTACGGATATTCGTAGGTGCCTACTCTTCTGTGTGTTGTTTAGCAAAACTTTAGGTCCACCCTCACACTTGTAGTGGTCTTTCGGCTGGTACCAGGAGGTGCCCGAAAACTGTCCCGGATAAGCCCGATCTGTACAAATCTAGGTTCCCCACTACTGGGTTCCATTCCAAAAACAAAATAGTAGGAAAAAGGGTGCCATTATTATAACCTAGAAGCAGTGCCATGAGCAAAAAATCAATATGAAGACTGTAACAAAGTAATTATGCTTCGTTTTCTGCATGAAAGTAGCTGTGACTCGTGGTGTGCGCTATACGGGGCGATTCACCTTGAATCGGTCCGATTCAAGATGAATCGGCCCCGACGCCTCATATCATGAGTCCTATTATAATTACTTGAATACGGTTTACATACAGTATAGATATCGCCGATTCTAAACTCATAGCACTGTTTGTGTGGGCAAGGCGTCCTCCAGGACCAGGAGCAACCACTACGTACAAGTTTAGGCTTCGAGTACGGCTAAAACGGGGGAGGCTTGGGGTACCACCTACATATATATATATATATGTATAAGTACATGCATCCTTTCATACATACGGAGACACACACACACACACATATGCATATATCTATCTATATACATATATGTACATAATCGGTACACATACAGTCAAGTACAAACGCGCGAATCTAAAGTTGCACAGGTACATATAACCCCTTCGGAAGAAGACGGGAACAACTGAAGCAGAAATAGAGCGAATGCATGCGCGTGTGGGTGTGGGTGTGGGTGTGGGTGTGTGTGTGTGTGTGTGTGTGTGTGTGTGTGTGTGTGTGTGTGTGTGTGTGTGGGTGGGTGGGTGTGTGTTTGTGTGTGTGTGTGTGTGTCTCTGTGTGTGTGTGTGTGGGTGTGTGTGTGTGTGTGAGTGCATCTGTCTGTGTGTGTCTCTGTGTGTGTGTGTGTGTGTGTCTGTGTCTGTGTCTGCGTTTGTATGTGGATATCAAACATCAATTAATCAACAGGGAATACAAGCCCTATTGCCCGCGCAGCCTTCGCCCCGAGCTTGCCGCGGCGCCATGATGAATGTTGTGGTAAAACTAAACTGACTCTATATGTGGCAACTTGTTGAATATTGTACGCAACAGATTCGTTCTCAATATCAAGTACTTATGCCAAAAACCTTTCTGGGTTGTAGTTTATTTATGAATAGGTACCTGTCTAGGAACCACAAGGGAAATTAACAAGGTTTCCCAAATTGTCGCCTGGCTTTTCATGCTCGTTCTGTGGTTTTTGATCCTACCACCGCCATCCGTTCATCGTGGCTTTGGAGCAGCGTGGCGGCGGGACATGGGGTCGTTCCGATTGCATGTTCTAATGCTTCGCTGAACAAGGCGGCCAACCGCGAGTCCTAAACGCGAAAGATAAACCAACACATGAACTAGAGGATGCGGGAACAAGACCCACTGGTAAAAAAACGCATCTGTTTAGGCACTCGCAAGCAAAATGCTGACTGCGAGACGGCCCAGCATGTAAGGTCTAGTTTAGCTGCTTGGCATCAGAAATAACAAAAAGGGTTCAGACGAGGACGACTTCATCCAGGGCAAGGAGAACCTCTCCTCGCTGATATCTATGGAACATTCATGCAAGGCTAAATGCACTCAATGCGCCGAGGTTTGTAAAACTGGCTTGTGTGGCTGTCCTGTTAAAGCCCAACATCTACATCCCTACGCGTCACCCGGTAACTCCAAGTAGACGTAACCCCCAAGCCAAAACCAAAATCTGACATCATGGCCCTCTAAACCCTGACCGCAAAGAACCCGCAGTTTAGGTTTAAAGCGCTGAATGCATGCACTCCAAACGCCACCAAACACTGAAAATCAGAGTTTACATTCCTAAACATGTATCCTTTTCAAGCCCCGAACCGAATTAGCCCACTGTGCCTGCTCAGCAGCGGGATTGCAAAGAAGCGGCATGCTTTGGCCCCTTTAGAGCTTTCAGGTCTGAAGGTTCAGGGTGCGCCTGTCCGGATTCGAGTGGGGGAGTCTTCACAACGATCTGCAAACGCAAGTCTGCCTTCGAACACTCGGAGAACGAGAACTTTCGGAACATCCCAGTTCAGCACGAAATTCTCAAGTTGCGGCAGACTGCGGCCAAGCAGAAATCGAGCTGTTCACCCTTAGAGAGCACCGGAACAAGTCTACCTGTCTACCTACCATCTATGAACGAAAGGTAGCTTTGTTGAGGGCCGTAGAACAGGGTTCACTGGCATATCCTCTAAACTCAAGCCCCTCGATGCGAGACCCAAAACCAGAAACGGCACCTCAGCACGCCTGGACCCTGCACCGTTTTCATCGTTTTTCGGATGGCTTAATTTGGAAACCCTCGACGAGAGGGTTGTTCAGTGTTCTGCTTTCACTTGGGGCCCCTATTACGATGTACATTTTGTGTGTACGAAGGAACATGACTCAGCCAAATTGGCTTTGATTGCAACGACACAACTTACCCACTTGCCGGTGGCAGCATGCTCAGTGCCCAAACTAAACCCTGCAATGTTCACAGGCTCCATGCTAGTTTCAACGAGGGCAGGTCAGTGCCGAACTAGGGCACAAGCGCACTCAAGTCCAGCCCACACCTGCAACAGATTCAGAGCCAGATCATCGCTGCTTCAGAGCTGACACCCCGAGTTTCACGGTATGATTTCGGAGCACGTCTTCCCGGAAGCGCTCCACAAATCGTGTTCCTTGCCAGAACCTCGAGAAGCTTGACGTCGTGTAGTTCGCCCAGTGTTCGGAATTACTCAGAATATCCCACTAAATCCCTCCATGAAGTGTGCCAGTAGCAAACAGCAGTGCAAACTCTCTTTAGCCATCACACACAATCCGCATAACCCGTCCCCAATCCGATGCAGAGAAGTTCTGACTCGCATGTGAACATGGGAAGGCCTCCTGACGGATTGGGCAGTTCACCGGGCTTCGCAGAGCACCTCAGTGCCAGTGGAAACTACCAGGCATTTTCAGCCAGCCTTGCGGTCTACATCGGAAGGCTTCTGCGAGCCAAGGATAGCTTTTTTATGAGAAGCATTGGGGGTGTATCTTGGCACGGTATTTCGGGAAGGCCCCAAACCTAAACAAGTTGAGACATGAGGTGCGATGCCCTAAATGCCGGGTCCTGCAACCTTTTCATTCTCTTCGGTTTGAAACCCTCATTGGAGAGTTGTCCAGTGTTGCGGTTCCCCGTGAGGTCCCTATTGCAGTGTGTGTGTGTGTGTGTATGATACATATACATATATATATATATATATATATTTTACCTATGTGCGTACATATATGCATATCTGTATAAATACATACATACATGCATACGTACAAACAGTCCAAGTCGACGTGAGACATGACTCATACTGAGGTTTCAGCCATCTTCTGCGGAGCGCATCCGTCGCACCGCATCAAGCAAGGTGTCAGGGCGTGCGATTGCACTCCGCAGGTCTTGCCCACTGGAGCGAGCTAATTATGCGGCCGACTCTGGCAAAAAATCTGTGCTGAACCGGTGCGCTTTTCTGTGCCAGTCGATGATCTGGCATCATTGGCATCATGTAAAAATGCAACTTGTTCTGCTGAGGCTGGCGGAAGTTCTGTGGTTTAGATAAGAATCCGATGGCCGTGAACATAGGAGCTGAAAGAGGACTGAATGTCTTATCACAAACCTCGAGAGCTTGCAAAGCAATCGATGCAACCCACACAAATGGTTCTGCAAACGGCGCACAAACAGATCTAAACAGCGTGGATTTGCGGCGAAGGCCATGGAACGGCTCCACAGCAGAGAGTCACGATAAGTGTGTCAACCTAAAGCCCTAAACCATCTCGGATGCCGGCGGCAAAACGAACAGCTTTGACCAGGCTAAACTTTCTATACGCGTTCAAAGTCGGATGCCAAAGCGACGGAAAAGGCCGACGCGGCTTCATGGTTCTGATGCCATGCTATACATGCATGCATACAATTACATGACAGTTCATTCCATTGCAAGGCATCACATCGCATTACATTCATCCAGGCATGCATGCATCCGTCCATGCCCCCCGCCCAACGCGCGCACACACACACACACACAGACAAAAACTTCACGCTTTGTGGGAATCGTGGATAAGGATGGCAAAGTCCATCAGAACACCAGATCTGAACCTTTGGAGGGTCTTGTTTGGAGGCATACGAACCGCAACGGACATTCTCTGCACGCTGATCCCGAAATCCTCAACCAGCACTCCGAGTACACCGCCTTCCTGGTCTCGAGAAGTGCTCGAGACGCAGCGACCCTGTAGTCGAGAGTCGAGCCAGGGTTGAGGGTTCGGCGTTTAATCAAAATGGCCCATGTGTTCTCAGGTCTGGGGGTTTCGGGATTCAGGTCTATGGAGTCTATGGACTTCGGATTCGGATGGGGTTGCGGCCTCAGGAGTCGTCATTTTCTCAAATTTACGTCCATCTTCGTCGGGGGGTTGAGGCATCACGGCAGAATCGCCAATGGCCCCATGGAGTCAAAGGATAGGCCGCCAATGCTGAGTCCCTATGGCCTGCTAAAACCTTACACAAATAGGTCGCAGCACCCTGAGTCCGCGTGCTGGCAGGACCTTACCGAGTTTTAGGCTAGCGCACGAATCCTCAACCTTGAACCCAAAAGGACAAACAAAAAGAGATCATCCGAAATCTTGGGCTTGGAGCCTGTAGTGTGCCTTGAGGGTGAACCTCTGATCTTGAGATTCAATTGGGTGGAAAACCCCAACACCAAAGCCCAGAACATGCCGTTATGAACCGCCAGTATACCTGGTGTAGCTCTATCACCTGAAGCTGGGAGTCCGGCTGAGTAAGGGGAGCTCCAAAAGAAGCCCCGATTACTGATCTGAGCTCGCAAACTGTGACCGCTTAGGTGCCAAATCACCAAGTCCCAAACCCAGCTTCAGAGATCACAACTCCAACATGTTCCCAATGTGTTCTACGTCTATTGCAAGTTGACAACAGTGACGGCGATGTGGGAGTTTATCTACTGGCGCTTGAGCTGCAACGCGGCAATGGATCCTTCACACTTTCCCTAACAAGATCTCTTCCAATGCATGGTCTAGCGTGGCTGCTAAACCCCTTTTGGTTAACTAACCAGTTTCGTATTATAGCGCCCTAGGCGTGGAACCTGGTTCACAAAAAACGAAAAACAGTGGAGACTGTACCTAGCGGCCTAGGCGCATGGGGGGATTTTGAGCATGGCATATCATGTTCAGCCGCGTATGCACGAGCAGGGTTGAGACTGCGCCTTCCTTATCATGCCTGAGAACCTCGAAAGACTTGATAGAGAAACCGGGAATGGAACGACACTTGAGCCCAAAATCCTGAACCCTATTATAAACACTAATTCCCAAACGCTGAATCCCGAAACTGAAGGTTAAGCCCTACCCAACCCTAAACCGCTAAGTCTAGGGCTTTAGGCTGCTGCCCGCCTAACCGTGCAACTTCTGGTGGGCTCGAGGTCATGGATGGAAGCTTCGCTTCTGGGGCTTTTTGGTTTCAGAGACGATATGAAGCATCTGCCGATCCTGGTCAAGTGGCATCTGCCCCTTTGGGACAGAAAGCACAGGAACCCAATGCCAAAACTCTGGTTCTTCAAAGATACCAGAGAATGTCAGCGTGCAGAAAGGACAACGGTCATAAGTCTTTATGTAAACGTATGTAAACATGACAGGTCTGAGTGAGTGCACGTGTCTTGTCTGTGAATATCTAATCTAATTATCTATGCACGACGATTCGATGTAGATGCATGTGGCAGCAACCGCACAAGAGGCACGGTTTGCATTGCTTCAGCTTGGCATTTGCGGGTGCTCAGAAGAAAGGGGAAGTTCACATAGATTATTCGGGAATCGCACAGCTGAAACTGCTCAGTTGAGCACAAGCGCGTCATAGTGCAAGCGACCCTGGTACAGGATCGGCACGTTACGACCACCTCTTGGTTTCTGACGCGTGGCTTAACTCATGTGGGGCCTTCCTGATTGGAATAGGGCAGTGGTGCACACATTGCAGACATACAGGGCCTGGTACGGCAAATATACTAGTCATTCAGACCCCCTATATGGTACGACTCAGGGTTTGGACGTCAGCTGTCTCTTGTTTCTTTAGGACTACGTAGTCGGGATTAGGGCTTAATTAGGCTCAGGGTGTAGGGTTTAGGTTTAGGGTGTAGAGTTTAAGGATTAGGGCCAGTTTAGGGTGAAACAAACCTTACGCGGTGAGCCCCGGTACGACCAGAACTTTGGGGCTAATCTTGAATTCCAAAAGCCACCGTTTTAGGAATGATCACCAATACTAAACGGTCATACCATACGATTTTTGTGTCGGGTTTGGGGCTACAGGTAGTTCCTGTTTCACAAAACCTTCCCACCTGAGCCGAATCGAGCAATGCGGGCGTACCCTCTGCGGCGAGATTCATAGACTTCAATGCTGATGTTTTTCATCTGTGCAAGAACCTCAGTTGTCTGCGCTGTTATACTTAACAACGACATGTCCAGAAACTGTTGTCCACTAGGCTAGTTGTCTTGGGTTCATGGGGTTCATGAGACTGAGAACAAAGAGGGCAATGATTGCAAATCCCACTGTTTAAGACGTCCATGCTCTCTAGCAGCTTATATGCCTTGAGTTCAGGCGCAACAAGGAGATCAATGTTAGAAACACCGAACCATCTTTCTACAACAAATCTGTCCAGGCGACGGCCAGCTCGATTCCGCCGCCCCAGGCGCCGCCCCGGAGGCTTTGGACATACGAGCTGACATCGACGTTGGCATCCATCCGGATCCACTCTGCTACGGGTGTCTCCAGGATTTGCATGTTGGGGTATGCGGCGATGGTGTCCTCAATAACACGACATGCAAGTAAGGAAACCAAGAACCAAGGGTTACCGCGAAGCGTCTGTATCCCAAGACCGCGCATTTCGCAGCCAGAAATCCCCAAAGCCTCTGTGTGGGTATGGGGCTCTACGGCTAGGGCTAGGTTAAGGGTTCCAGGTGTGCGGTTTAGGTGTTCGGACATCTCACTCAGGCAAGCTTCCGCCACGCTCTTACGCAGTGACCCGGCTGTGCTTCCGTCGCCAAGTCCATACGACACCGAGTGGAACATGCATGAGCCTGGGCTGCGCGCTTTGGGGGGGTTTAGCGTTTGCGGCACAGGGTCTGAACCCAATGCCTTGAACCAAAGACACTTCCTAGACCCCCCCCAACTAGCCTGTATTAGACCCAAGCCATAAGGCCTCTATTAAAGTGCCCTTCATTGGGGGGTCCTGGTTAGCCCTAAACCCTAACCCGAAACTTAGACATGACAATTCTTCCGGAGCTAGCCTTGATCTCATAGGCTCCATAGCAGTTCCTTTTTGGGATTACCTTGTAAGATTCTAAATATGAACGCCAAAAAGGAACTACCATGGGGCCTCTAGGTAATCATGAAAACACCGAAGCCACGTACCCGAAATCCTAACACCATAAGCCCTAGTGTAAGCCATCAGCCCGAAGACCCTAAAACCCTGACCCTGAATCCGTCGCACCCCATCTCACAAACCCTTGTAGTCCCGTTGAAATGCCGAAGGTCGGCATATGCAAAACCGCGAACCACCAGCCTCTTTCCAGGAGTTAAGTGTCCCGGGTATTGGTGCAATGTTTAGGGTCTAACTTCAGGCTCGAAATGGTTAAAACGAAGGATTCAATCTTTGCAGCTCACTTATCGTCCACATTATTGCTTTCAGGCACTACATAAGTGCTGAACAAGAGGACTCCGATGTACATGAGTATGTCTGTCGCGTTAAGGGGAGGACCTACGCACCAAAAGGATGCTTTCCCAACGAGTCCATGTCCCTATGCGAGACATGCTTTAGACTTGAAAAGGCTCCAAAAGTCTATACTGCATGGGCCCCTGGAATCTTTGGCTCTAACACTCCGACTAGGAACCAAAGTAGGTACTGCTTGTATGCTCGGAGTCTTAGTGAGGGTTTTCGTGCCCCTAAAGGGTCCAAGTACCAATAATATTAGGTACTCCGTGGCATGTGCGGGCCCTTAAACTATATACTATAGGTGCTATACTATTACCCAATATTTGGGACCCCAATGGATATACTTTATTCCTTTGCGTCTAAGGGGCCTAAAACTACTACGTGGACCGTTGTCCATATTACCCTAGTGTATTATACTATACCTTTCTATTCTATACTACACTCTACTACCCTTTGTTCCACTAAGGCTCAAAATAGCCCAAAAGCCTTATGTATATAGTATGGTCTTTGGGCCAAAAAACCTTAAAATGTGAGTCCTTAGAGCCCTAAGGCTTGGGTTTTCTATTCTTTACTGCACTATACCCTAAACCCCAAACCCTAAACCCTGAACCCTAAACCCCTAAACCCCAAGCCCAAACCTTAAACCCTAAACCCCATAAGCCCTAAAACCTGAACCCTAATTCGTTTCCACTCCCTATTGTACGACTTTAAAGCTTTTTTGGGTACCAAAACCATAAATAAGGACTACCTGGACCCTTAGGGCCTTTGTTTGGGTCCAGGGAGCCATCCCCCGGCTGGCGAACAACGCGGGCGCGGCTAACGAACTTTGCCTCCGACTCGGCTGCGCCGACGAGCTTTGCCTTGCCCTTTAAGCACCTGAGAGGCTCTAGGGTTTACCTTAACCCCGAAGAACCTACATTTTTAAGGACATACATCAAGAAATCATAATAAGGAACCCTAGCCCTTCAAGCACCTGCGAAGCTCTAGGGTTTAGGGTTTAGGGTTTAGCTTGGCCTTGCCCTTCAAGCACCTCAGAGGCTCTAGAGCTTCTAGGGGATACCCATAGACTCCATAGTAGTCCCGTTCTGGGATTGCCTTATAGGATTCTATATATGAACCCCCAAAAAGGAACTACTACAGAGCTTCTAGGGGATAGTTACGGATAGTCGGGAATCCAGGGTTTTAGGGTTACGGGATCTTGATTGTTTGGGGGTTTCAAGCACCGGAGAGGATCAGGATTTAGGGTTCAGGGTTTGGGGTTAGCGTTCAGGGTTTGTTGTAGCTCCTTTTTATGTCTGCTCGGCTGGTCGTGCTGGGTTTGGGGTTTAGGGCACCTGAGAGGCTCTAGGACCTCCAGGGCAAAATGGGTTTAGGATTCGAGGGTATGGGAGACTTGGTATTGGGGCTTGTGAACTGCGATTTCAAGCACCTGAGAGGCTCTGGTGTAGGGGTAAGTACGGCGTTCAGGGTTACGGGATGTATTTGGGAAATGCGCATATGCATTCATGGGCGAATCGACTCAGCTGCAGTCCAATGCGGGGTATCCGAAGCTATGACTTTGTACTTCCAGTGTGGGATGTCAAGGCTTCCCGACGGATGGTGCCACTTGGTACGATTTGGGAACCTTAGGGTCTGATTCTAGAGGCTTAAGGCCGATCAGAACTCGCAGCATTACATCCTGAACCCTAATGAAACCCGCTTCACCCTGAATCCTAAACCTTAAACAAAAAATTGAACCCTAAATCCCCGAACCCCTACCCTATAGACCCTCAACCCTAAACCCCAAACCCTGAACCCTTAGAAACGGAAAGGCCGAGGCACCAGGCATCCGGATGCTTCTCGCGGGGCTTTTTGAAATGCGGGCAATTCTCCGTGGCATGTGGTCCATCGCACTTGTCGCAGGTCACCTGTCGACGGTTTGGCGTTGTAGGGTTTAGGGGTTTAGGTTTAGGGTTTGGAGCTTAGGGTTTGGAGTTTAGGGGTTTACTGGTTTAAGGTTTGGGGTTGAGGGTTCAACCTGAAACCCGTCCTGCGTCGCAGCCCCAACAAAGCAAATGCCTAAACCCAACAACCCGAAATCTGCTCCGCACAGGCCCACGGACCCCAAGCCCCACCTGAACCCCAAACAACTTGGAAGCCTCAAAAGGCAGGTGAAGGTAGGCTTGAGGACCCCTTATGTCAGGACCCTGAATGAGCATCACCCCACCTACCTTCCCTAAACCCTGAACCCCTAAGCCCTAAACCCCTGAACCCAAACCCTAAACCCCTACCTGTAGACCCTAAATCCTGCACCCTCTGAGTCTGCCTTTCTACGGACTTATATGATGGGAGGCCAAAAGGGAGGATTAAGATCCTTGGGGCAGGGATTCCTTAACATAAAGCCTTAAAATATGAGTCATTAGAGCCCTAAGGGTTTGGGTTTTCTATTCTATACTTCACTATACCCTCAACCCTAAACCTTAAACCCGATGCCTAGGATTTTGGCCTCCTATGATTCTTCCGGCTTATGCAGGCCCGCGGAGCCTTGCCCTGCGAAGGCGGCGCCGCTGCCGGTGCCATGGGCTTGCCTGTCTTCCGTAGGGCTCCAGGTTTAGGGCTTCGGGGATTTAGGGTTTAGGGTGTAAGAGAATTCAGGGCTTTGGGCTTAGAGAATTTGGGGTTGAGGGCCTAGGGCTTAGAGGATTCGGGTTTATAGGGTCTAGGGTTCAGTAAGGGCTCAAGGGTAAAGGGTTTCGGGCTTGGAGGATTTAGAGTTTAGGGTCTAGGGTTTAGAGGATTGAAGGGAGGTTTAGAGGATTGAAGGGAGTGTTTAGGGCTCAGGGCTTAGAGGATTTAAGGTTAAGGGTCTAGGGCTTAGAGGATTGAAGGGCTTTAGTGGCTGCAGGGCATATAGGTTTAGAAGGCTTACGCTTCTGCTTGTGGTTTTAGGTTGTCAGGGTTTAGAGGGCTTAGGTTTCCGCTTGTGGTTCTAGGTTGTCAGGGTTTGAGGGCACAGCATCGTTACAAGGATGAGCCCTAAAGGTTTAACCCTAAACCCTAAAGCCTACACCCTAAACCCTCAACCCTAAACTCCCCAAACCCTAAACCCTAAACTCTGAACCCTAAACCCCAGACTTCAAGCCAAGCTGCTCTTTACCGGAGAACACATCGGAGCAATGGCCGGAGAGCCCGTGAAGGACGATTTTACCATGGCAAGGGCACCTGCGACGTCGCAGGGAGTTTCCGAAAACTAGGGGGACCCTTTAAGGGCTCCTTTTAAGGGAGCAATAAGGGTGCAATTAAGGGTATAGGGTTTAGGAGTTTCCGAAAATGGGGGGACCCTAATCTAGCCCTTAGGCTCTAAGGACTCATATTTTAAGGCTTTTGGGCCCAAAGACCATACTATGTAAGGGCTTTTGGGCTATTTTGAGCCTTAGGGTAGTACCCTAAATAGTAGGATCCTTATTCTAAGGACCCCCAAATAAGGTAAAACCCAAATTTTCGGAAACTCCCAGCTCCCAAAGTCGCTCGTAGGGATGACAGGATTTGGGGATTTGCGATTTGGGAGAAAAGTCACTAAACCCTACACCCTAACAGGCTCAGGGATTATGTAGGCTTGACCTACGGCTTCAACAGGGGAGCGAGACCTGTGGGACTTCTCTACAAGGGAGTTATGTAATTTCTTGGATTGTCTATTTGGGGGGTTCCGGAAATTAGGGGTACCTTATCCTGGGGTACTGAAAATAAAAGACTTCAAGATCCTACTATCAGGTACTATATTAGGATCCCTATTTTCGGAAACTCCCATTTGTGTGAGCCCAAACATCTGGAGCAATCTTTTGGAGTATACCATGCTCATAATGGAATTCAGGCTACAGTGCTTCTCAAAAGAGACTATGGTATCTTCTGAAGGGCAAAAGCCAAAACTTCAATCAATCCTCTTGCCTCAATTCCAACAACGCCCAAACATTACTGTTTCGGGTCCTGTCGTCAACGCAAACGTCTAAACACTCAGCTCCAGGTCCCAACGACCCTCAAACCCCAATCGCTCCCGTGAAAGCTCCAATCCGCCAATCCTATAGCACGCAAAGTCAGTGTTAATAATCCCGACCCTCTAACTCTAAACCCTCAGCCCTAGAACACTAGAACCCGAGACCCTAGCGCCCTAGAATCCCAAACCCTGAAACCCTGAAACTCTGGAACACTAGAACCCTAGAGCCCTGAACCCTGCTCGTTTGGAATCCCTCCCGGCTTGAGATGCGAGGGCCCCTGGACCACACATTCGGCGTGGGCGTAGCAGTCTCCTTGGCTCGAATCACTATTATAAGAAGGGTTTGGGGTTTACGGGTTTAGGGTTTGGGGCTTGTTTAAGTACCTCGGTTGAGATATCTAAGACTTGAAGAGCCTTTGAGAGAGACTTCGTGCTTGGAGCCAGGACCTCGAAAACAAGTCATGGAGATTGTAGGCATCGCCCACATCTGGGCAACCCACAAACCTCCTTAAAACCCTGAAACCAAAAACTCAAATCCAGAAACCCCCCGCGTGTGGGTACCATAATTATCCCTGTTGAAAAGCCCATTCGCTGGAGTAAGCCTTGACTCCCTGTGACACAATGACCCAGCCTCAAGCCCTAAAGCCTTGTCACCCTCAACCCTGAACACTATGCCCCAAGACCATTAACTACAGATAAGTACCTTGCGGTGATGTACCGGTGATGTAGAGTACCTGGACCCCCAATGACCCCCTAAACCCTAAAACCCTAAACTACAGATAAGTATTCGATGTAGGGGCTTTCCCTATACATCAAAATTGCCACAGATAAGTAGAGAGCCAGGTCTCAACATAGAGCTTGACCTGCTTAATTCGAAGGATTTCGGGCCCTCCTCCGTGGCGAGACTGCAAATACCTTGGATTTCGGGCTTAATTTCGGGTTTACAGTTTCAGATTGGGGGTTTTGGGTTCAAAGTTAAGTTCAGGGTTTGAGATTTAGGGTTTAAGGTTGCCAGCTTAAGGTTGACATTTTGAGGTCTGGGTTTTCGGGTGTAAGGTTCAGGTGCGGTGCTCTGCATCTTACAAGGCCTGGACGATGACCGAAAGCATGCAAGTCACCAACAAACATTTAAACTGTGGAGCTCAAGCTGTTCGGGGTGAGGCCTTTGTCACCTCGGAGCCAGAAACACAATCCAGGGCACTTCCACACTTCTGCATTCACGCCGCGGAAGTGCCTCGGCATGGCTTGATGAACTTTGGCAGCTGTGGAAAGGGTTAAGTACTGCATAGGGTCCAAGGTTCAAACTTTGGGAAGCAGGGGTAACAAAGACCCTAAACCCAGACCCCAAATCCCAAGCCCTAGACCGTGAAAATGTCCTTGAAACGCAAGCAATGAAGCCCAGATGCTCCACAGCCCTCTTTCCTGGGAGGGGAGTGCCATCTGGGCGAACCAACGTCTCGTTGGTGATGGGACCGGGGGGACCAGCCTTTCCAGTAACCTTGGCAAAATATTGTTCTGGCTATTACTATGACGATGACTAGTATTCGTCTTCTGAGTATGATTATCGAACTATCAAACACATGTGATTGTTGCAATTCTTCTCATGGTTGTTGTCGACCCGGAGGGAGTTCTGACATCCTCGCGAAACATGATCTCTATCTCGAGTGTGGGGTGGTCGTGGACCCAAGCTTGTCCGAGAGCTGAAACCGCGTCTCTGAAGCTGGACCTCCGAATCAAGCCATAAAAGACCAACTCTCAGCCCATGAAGACCTACAGAATCAGCCCATATAGACTGAAAACACTTGAAAGATATGAAGTCGACCTCTCTGAGGCCTAAATCCGAACCTTTGCCTTTTCAGTCCACACCCCGAAGCCACAGCAAAAGAAAAACAGCTTCCAAGCTCATGCCAAGGCCGCGAAGGCCTTCCACTCATCCAGCCAAGCCGTGCAAACGAGATACCAAATCTGGAGAGTGTCGGCTTCCGGGTTTAGGCCAGGCTTCAACAGGGCTTACATATGCATGCGTAGCGGCGTAGTGTTTTGTAAGGCTTTCATCTGCAGCTATACCCATGGTCAGGCACAAAGATACACGAGTAGATACATACATCACATACGTACATACGTCCATGCATACCTAAACACGTACGTACATGTACAAGGTTTCAGATTCGGGCTTCGGCATCTGTTGTTTGGGATTTGGGGCTTGGAGACTTGGAGTGTTTTCAGGTCCCGGCCTGCGCATCTCTTCGTGAGGATTTGGGGTTTGGTGTCTGGAAGTTTAGAGCTGAGTAGGAACATGAGCCCTAAGCCGCCTCTAGAACTTCCGTTTTGGTAGTGCACTGCCTGGTAAGGAAATGCAGAAAACATCCCTCCGTCTACAGTGTCCCGAAGCCCTCAATCCTAACATCAGAACCCTCCCCGGAACCCTGTGGCCTCGCTGTTTTCGGAGTCGTGCCTCTGGACAAACTCCTTCTCCTGGGAGGATGGCTGCAGGATCACCACGAGCCAGACACCATCATAGGGTTAAGGCTTTTGGGCCCAAAGACCATACTATGTAAGGGCTTTTGGGCTATTTTGAGCCTTCGGGCTCCAACACAGTGTCTTTGGCCTTGGCTGGCAAAAATCGGGGTAAGGACTTTGTCATCAAACTGGAGAACACATGTAGCAAGTCTTGCTTTTGGCGTCTCACGGGGCCGGGGGGGGTCGGGTTCGCACTCCGACGAGGAAGGAATCCAAGAGGCGTCTCTGGTGCGATCTGGGCTTCGGATTTCGGGTAATGGTTTAGTGCCCTCAAAAGCCCAAGCACAGAAGCGAAGGCTTTCAGGTTCAGGCGCAAACTAATTTAGGGGTCTTACTAAATATAAGCTTGCAGAGTCTTGCGGCAGAGTGGAGGGGATACGGCTACTGCACCATTACTCACATCCCCATTATCCCTCTCCTGAGCACGGCGAGTCGACAGGCTTTCTGTTGTTGACGTCGACGAGACCTTCGAAACCTTCCGGTTTGTGATTTTGGGAGGGTCTGGGCTTACGAGGGTTCGTTTGGGGTTTGTTTCTGCAAGGGTGCTACTAGACTACAAGGGTCCCACAAGCGTTATCCAAGACCCCCGCACACACACGCGCACACACACACAAGCACGCACACGCGTGCCCGCACACGCACACGCACACACGCACACACACAGATACACACACACACACAGACAGATACACACACACACAGACACGCACACAGAGACACACACACAGAGACACACACACACACACAGACACACACACACACACGCGCACAGACACACACAGACACACACACGCAGAGAAACACACACAGAGACACACACAGACACACATACACACACACACACACACACACACGAGACACACACACACACACACACACACGAGACACACACACACACACAGAGACACACACATACGCACAGACGCACGCACACACACACAGACACACACACACACACAGACACTCGTGCAATCCTCCCTCTGGACTGATGGTAATTGTTGTAGCTCAGTCTTCCAACATAGAGGTAAAGGATTTTAAGCCGCTAGGCAGTAACATCATTTATTGGGGTTCTAGGCTTAGCCCCAAGCCATAACACTTGCAGAAAAAACTGGCAAGTACGCTGGGTTGATCAGACCCAGTATCAGCCGTGGCATAGCCCTCTTCGTTGGGCAACCAGCTATGCTCACGGGGTTGCCCCCCTGCAAACTTAATGCATATCAGCAAACCTTGGCAAACAGGTGTTCCACACACACACACACACCCCGCTAAGCGGGGTAGCCCTTGATGGCTTCGTTTGGCTGATAAACAGCAGTGCACATTTTTACACTAAGCCAAAGACGGAAACTGCAGGTAAAATGGCACCGAGTTGTGATGGTGCGGGTCCCAATTATGGGTACGTACCTCAACCTACTCTTAAAGAACATGGCCCGCAGTATGCTGGCAAATGCGAATTGTTCATGCATAATTGACTTTCACGGAGTAGTGCTCCTCTTTCGTTTCCGAAGAGACTCAGAACAATCAGTGCGGCTGGAGGAAGCATTGGTAGTCTCGGGTGATTGTGAGCTTGAGCTCCACAACCTATCGGCAGTAAGGCGAGTCTGGATCCACTGCTGTGTGGCAGGAAACCAAGTTTTCCACCAACGGTCTTGACCATCAGTTGTCGTACTTTTTGTCCAGTAAAATCGCCACGAAATCTGCGGAGACCGAGATCTGCTCCGTTCCGACATGATGGACTGACTAAACTCAACTGAAAGCCTCAAACTAATGAAACATTGCTGTAGCATTCACAGAGCACCAAGCGAAGAGCTGGTGGAAACCATGATGCTATTTTGGCTCTGTCTCGCGTCTGCTCAGAAAAGTCTTCACGGCTTAGGTGGCCCGAACTCATCTTGGATGAGTTTGACAGGGCACAGATGCTTCAAAACATAGTGGCAGGAGCACCTGTAGCCATTGCGGGCCTGCATCTTGGCAGCTGCTTTGCCACGAAACTGATAAGGTTGTGGCACATCATCCGGTGGCTTGGTAGACCCCGGCAAGGGGTACATAACTTCCAATATGGGATCGAAAAAGTTTGAAGCCTCTGGGGTTCGTGAAGAAATCGTAGTCAAAGGCTTGGAAGTCTTTTTGGACTTCTTCTTCTGTTTCTTTTTCTTCTTCTTCTTTGTACCGTCATCGTCCTTAGGACGAGTCTTGCACTTTTTGGAAGGGGGTTCAGACGTTGCATCAAAAGCAGAATGCCACGAAGACGTCGACGAAACAGGTGAAGGCTGCCGATGCTCCACAGCTTGATCCATGGCTAGTACTCACAACGGGCAGCATAGGAGCCAAAAACTTTCACATCTGATGATCTATCCTGACATAGCTTTGCATGTGCAGGGTATTGCAACATTGAGCGATGCACACAATCAGCATGCAATATCTTTTCTTGCTTTACGAATTAAATCAGCTTGCAGCTGAAGCAGCTGAAAAAGCTGCCGCTGCTGCCATGAGGTTCTCTTCCTCAGGATCCTCTACATCTGGCAGCTCTATCTTAGGGGTTTCCGGATTACCCCATGGGCCCCAGCTGTCGTCTGGAGGGCCATCTGCTAGAGCCAAAGTAGGCTCATTGCCGACAGCTTTGGGTCTAGTTCTACGGCGCTGTCGGCTCTCATGCTGAGGGTAGTCAGCTTTGCTTCGTTCTGAAAGAACAAAGACAAAATCAATGCGAGCTGCCGCGAACCGAATTGCCCACCGTCTGTCCGAAGAACAGCTGTGGACCAAAGCATGAAATCTCGCCAGATTGTTCTCATATCTGGTGCATGCATTCTTGTCCTTGATGTGGTTGCTGGGCAATAAGCCTGCAAAAACCACTCCAGAACAGTTCTTAGTTGAGTGGTAACACTTGCAGGCGAGCTGTACAACTCCTGCACCCCAGTTGGGGTTTGTTGTACTTCTGCCATAGAAGGAAAACGTATCCTCTTGAGGTTCCAGGCCAGCTACACTGTGATCCGTGGGTAGGATCTTGCCTGTAGCCAAAATACCCGTGACCCCTTCCCTCGTAGTGGCATGTGCCCAAAGATGCCAGTTTTGCTGGGCCAGGGGTGGGCCGGGAAAACCTGTACACCGGAAACGATATCCAACTACATTTTCTTCCACATCATGAAACAGTGAGGCACCTTCTTCGAAGTGCCTCTCATAGTGGAGTCTGGACTGCAAAATGCAGTCGACGAAGCCGAAAAATTCTTCTTTGCCTATAGTATTCGGTGGCACCGGCTCTGGAAACAAACTGAGCAAAAACCGAGCACATCTTTGTCTCTCAGGGTCTTTGAGAGACGCGACAGGGCGCTGGTACTTGCGAACCAGTGCCGCCCGGGCTGCATTGCTTCGCAATGCTTGCCAGGGTGCCATGACCCATTGATCCGGGAACGGTGCAGTCAAAAGTTGCTGACGGTAAAAGAGGTATTGACTCAGGGTGGTCATCCCACCCGGAATGTGATCCACTGCTGAAAATCCCGGCAGCTGGATTTCCAGCTGGTCCTCCACATCATTGATATTGGCAGACATGAGGCCCCGAAAAAATTGATCATCAATCTGTTGCTGGCTATCCGATGGAGCCAGTTGATTGGAGGCTGTTGACCCTTTCTTGGCCGGCTTTGCTTGCTTGCCGCCCGGTGGATACATTGGTGCATCCCTCCTTGGCCTGTCCCTTCTGGGTGTTCGGCTTCGCCGATGTCTCCTTGATCTTTCTCGGGACATTGCTTCACGACGCCTTGAGGGCGATCTGGAATCATTATGTCCTCGATGCGACCGGGCTGGCCTCGGCTTCCTCAACTGAAGACGGCAGTGACAGAACACGTGCCGGCGGGTTGGATCCTTTGGATCCTCCCTTGCTCAACGAGTCACCACAGAAAAATTGAAACACATAGGAAGCCATGGCGGGGGCACAAAAGATACTGACTATGAGAGTCGCCACGAGCCCAGCTCGCAGTATTGGAAATGGATGTCCACACCAAACGATACAGACACTTCGCAATAAGCACAGAAATCGGAATTTTGACACTTTCAGGTCAGCATTTCTGCAGGGAAGCCTCGATCTATGTACAATTGGCGGAGTCCCTGCAGTTGATGTTTGCGACTACTCGGAGGCCATGCATACTGTACAATCAAAGCTTTCCGAGATAAATAGCCTGAAATTCGAGTGGACCAACTTCCTGCAGATCTTGGGTTTCGGATGGACCAGGCTTTGTCTGGTTGCAGGTAGGTCACTGTTCTGTTGGCCATGTTGAGCCGGAAGCCCAGAAATTGATGGTTCGTAACTTCTTCCAGCTGGATAGTTCCTCCATAAAAAGAGAGGTGTCGAAAATCTTTCATGCATTGATGCGACAGAAAGTTCTCGTCGCACACAACGAGTCGATTATCAACATACCTACAAACAAACAGTTCCGAAGCTTGGTTGTCAAAAAACCTAGCTGAATTCAGGAACTGATGCCATTCTCTTTGCCAACAGGATTCTCTTTGAATCACTGGAAGACTGCTGAGGACCGGGCTGATTTGATTGCCTATACATGTGCCCCGGTGTTGCCTCAATAGGCCAAGAGTGGTGAACACTCCTGCTTGAAAAGAGGTCTGTACAATAGCAGTCAGGTCGGAAACATGAAGAAATCTTATGTGTTTGGCTCCCTTTGCCATGGGTTTACCTGGCCAAGCAGACTCACAATTGGGTTGCTTTTTCAGGGATACCGTGATCTGTGGAGGGTATTCCTGGTCTTGATACAGCTGTACAAGCATTGACAGAGAATCCAGGATTTGCTGTCTGGGCACAGAGTTGAAAAATCCCACTAGGTCATCATTAATTTCGGCGAGATGCACCATAGGAGGGGTGCGGCGAAGAAACTGATGCAGCTTCTTCCAAAGTTGGGGAGTGGTGGCTAGGCCCATGGCCTCAGGCCAGACCAAGCGAACCATCAAAAGAATCGCTTGCGCAGCTGCAATCAACAACTTCTTGATACAGCTGTTGGAGTACGATATTATCGTCCTCCCTTTCAAAAATTCTTTCTTTCGTTTGAGAAAGACAAACCCCATTGGTAAGGTGCCGGAAGCATTGATTCCCCAGCAATATCTTCTTTTCAGTGTGCCGGGAATCTGTTGGAAAACTTGCTGGTTCCAGAGTTCTTGGGAGCCTTCCACAGGCTCGAAAACATCTAGATCCTGCCAGGTCTTCATGGCAGCTTGAAGATAGAATTTGGGACAGAAGACCATAAGATGATTCGGTTCATGGTCTTCGCAATGCACAATAAAATGTCGATGCAGTAAGTTGCGAGCAGCAGAGACATCTCCCCACGTGAGCCGACTTTCTTGGCTCAGGTGATCGAGGTGTTTGCTCCATTGTTGCTCGAGAAATTGCTGAAAAGTTCGATCCACACCCTTGGGAAAACAATGCTTGCGCCGCCAAGATGCAAACATACGGGTGTTGTGATTGAAAAATTCTCCTTTGGCAGGAAAAAACGCTGAAGATGCACTGCCACTCCCTAGTTTTTCAAAGGAGCGGTGAAGGCTGCCTAGTTGTTCTATACCTGCTACAACATGGCCTCTAGTGAGGCACTGTTCTGGCAGCAGTTTGGTATAGTAACTGCAAGGACACGGTGCATCAGCAACAGAATGATTCTGTAACCATTGGTCCCAGTCTTTGAAATTATGCATAAAGTCCTTGAGAGACTGATGAGGTTGCTCTCTGACTTTGCACACTGGTAAATGAAAAAGTATAAGAATCGGCTTGTGTGCCAATACAAGCTTTCGGATCCATCTGGACACATCTGACCCGAAGCTTGGGGATGCAGTGAATTTCAACTGCAAGCCCAGGGCAGCCGAGGGCCAAGACATATTGCGGAATTGACAAACACCTCGGAGCACCTTCCTGGCCTTACTTTTGCCAGGCTCTTCCAGGCAATTGCTCAACCGAATCAAAGAGTAAATCTCATCCGGAAGGTATCGGTCGCTTCGCAGCTTTTTTGCCTCTTCAAAGGGGGCACGGCTGAAGCATGTAAGATTGAATAATATCTCCCATGCCGACCTTCTCTTGAGCTGGAAAGGAACGGGCTGAAGTTGTCTGTGGAGTTTCTTTCTCAGTTTTCTCCACAGCCTTAACCCGAACCTAGAAGACACGCTATGTCGAACTCTTTTGTTGGGTCGAAGGCCCAGTGCACTCCTTTTCAAAAAGGAGGTAATGTACGGGTGGTTCAATTTGGGCTGCCACATCCCAATTAAGCAGTGCTCAGTTACCCATGCTTCCTTGTATGTTGAGCACGGAGAAACAAGAAACAAAGTGTACTGCTCAAGACACTGATTGGACACCCAGTATCGGATGGCTAGCTCGGCCTGAGCTTCACCTCCGCTTGCCAGCTTCCTGGCAACTGAGAATCTGTTAGACTCTCTTCGAAAAACTGATTGGCTCGTAGATCCTATGTACATGAATGTGGAAGGCTGCCTGTAGTGCTCAATACTTGAAAAATGGCGCCAGTCCACTGCTGTTTTCATGTACACCGCATTCTGAGATTGAAATCTTGGCCACGTGTAGGTGGCAGGATGTACCCGGAACTGCTGAAGCTTCTGTCGAATAGTCTCAGCATACGACGACGGGGAACCTTCTTGAAAGTAAAATAACAACAGAAGATGAAGCAGGCCTTGGGCCCACAGTGCAGACTCTTTGTTGAAGCCCGGACAGTGGTGCAAAAAGAACGTCACAGCCTCTCCCAACATACAAATTTGCTGCTTGATTCCTTGTTTGCTTGAAGCAGCAAGATGTTGGCATTGAACTGCTAGTCAAGCATTTTGAAGTTGTGCAACAGCAATCACAGTAGACAAATTCTTGATGGACAGTCTGGATGCCAGCTTCGGATCCAGTCCGAACTCTTTGGCGGCTGAAACCAGTTGATCTTTAGATGCTTCAGTTTTGAGAAGCTTCTGAACAGTCTGTACATGCTTAACCAGCAACTGGTACTTGCCTTTAAACTCTGGCTTGTTCTTGTAGGTGGCCAGCCATTCAGTGACATGGTCATCTGTGGCTCCTTTGGGGCGCGTATCCAGCTTTCGTTGTGGGTCCTTAAGGAGCTGTTCAGCTTCCATTTGGGATTCCGGCTCAGCAATAGGCATGGCGGGCTTTGCCCGTCTTTCTGAGCCTGGCTCAGGATCTTCAGTTGCCTTCCTCTTCAAAGGGGACATTGCAATGCCATGCTCAGCCAGTTTGGCTTTTGCTTTGGCGAGCTCTTCAGAGGCATCCGAATTTGTTGGAGGCACTTTGGCCAAAACACAATTCAGAAGTTCTTGAGCAAGCGGTTCCATGAATCGCATTGCCTCCTTGTGCTTGTCCGGAGGAGCAGAGCTATGACAAGCTTTTGCTGCCTCATCAATAGAAACACCACTCTCGCGAAGCTTCTTCAACAATGCCGTAATGAGTACCGATTCTTGGCCGCTTCGAGCCCATACGATACTCTGATGCCGTCCTTCCGACAGCAACCGAAATGAGAAATCTCCAAGGCCTCGATGAGAAAGCTCATAGGCACGGATGTCACTGACATCACGGCCAGCTAACCCAGCTTTGCGAGACCACTCTGTCGGTTGAACCAACTTGTGCAGCACATGGGCACCTTTGCCCAAAGGGGTCTTGTCGTAGTGCTGCTGATCGGAAACAAAAGACGACGGCAAAGAAAAAGATTGATATGTGGGGCTGGCTACACATTCCCACGATTTCTCAGAGTATTTGGAGTCCCATTTGTCTTCTTTGCTCCACCGATTCCATTGCTGTCTGTTGTCCCAGCTGTTGCTGGAGTCGCTGTTAGACCATGATGACCAGGAGGCCATGGCGAAATCAGTTGTCCAGGGGAGAACAGTTGCTTGATCAGACTGACGGCTGTTGTGAAACAAAAGGGCATCAGTCCCGTCTGCAACTAGGCAATCAGGCCTTGTACTACAGATGATTGCTCCGTAGAGCATTTTCGAGTTGGAGACCAAGAGGTCTTGCTTTGGGTTTAAGCCGATCAGGGCTTGGACCGATCAGGGTCCTGTGATTATGACTGGGCCGATCAGGGCCAGGCAGTAGGCAACCCTACCGTAGACGACACGATCGACGAAAGCCGTCTAGAGCACACTCGTGCAATCCTCCCTCTGGACTGATGGTAATTGTTGTAGCTCAGTCTTTCAACATAGAGGTAAAAGATTTTAAGCCGCTAGGCAGTAACA